CATTCCTGGGTTGCCACTCTTATTTTACGTGATCATCTTCCATCCTCACCAGTGCCCAAGCACCAGTTACTGAATAGTTAGGATGGTCTTATTAACCAACGTGCGTTCTCTCGAATCCACGTTGTCCTCCTCTGTCTCGTAAATGTAACTTCAAGCAAGCATGAATGAGATGAAGGTTGTTTGAAGTTGCAAGTGTCGGTTGATTTGAATGAGTATCGTGGTTTAAGGCTGTGGTCTCTCTGATACCACAGTACGGTATACAGGCACAGGAGGTCCCGGGAGGTAGGTTCAGCGTGAAGATGGGAGCACTGAAATCAATTACTGCGATAGTGGCCGCAAGATGGCGAGAGATGGTGGTGGCTCAAAGGGAGACCTTCATCCAGCAGTGGATTTTCTAAGGCCTCTAAGCTTATTTTAACATACCTTCGTGAGTAGTTAAATCTAGACTTAGGTAAGCATGATTAATTTACGATGCGGACAATCCGCCCAAAGACACTGAAGAGTCAACTGCACAGAGCTCATGTGCGTATTTTGGAATACCTTTGCACTGTATGTAGCAAACCGTGCTAATCAGAGGTGCGGGGGAAGGACAAAAACTCAACACAAAAGACAGTTTGAAAGAAATGTTTTCAATTTAGTATAGTGGTGTAGTGTATAGTAGTGCTGTGTATGTTTCACTTATTTTAAATCGAGATTTAAAAGTGCATAGCTCCAAGTGGCTTCCTCATATTGGAAGGGCTGAGCATTCCGGATGGCCGCAGAAGCGCATCTGAAAGCGCCACATGATGCGGTGACGGTCTTTGTTCGATGGTTTACTAAAAGCTGCTGCTTTGAGGATGACAGTCCGTGGGCCCAGACCAGATATTGCACTTGCTGGTACCACACACCTGGAGGTTGCACCACTTCCGTACTTCCAATTTCTTTGATGTGTGAAAATAACAATGATTAATCACGTGACAACCATTTGTGATGATTTTCTCATTAGCTGTGGCTCATGACAATACACGGGGGTGGGGGAAGCTAAATATCTACCAAGACTGGACCATTCAAAGGCTAGCCTGCCGTAGGTATTGGCGGGTGACGGGCAAGGAACTATGTCTGGACTTGCAGAGGAAAGGGCTGTGTTGAAACAGTACCAATGTGTCTAGGGGAGGCCCTTCTATTTAACATGACAGGCTCCCAGCAAAACATGAAAACCCCTACAAAAAGCACATCAACCCCTACAGGACTCACTCAATCACGTTTAACCCCCACCTACATGTCTCACATTAGACCGACAGGAATCACAACACCTATCACTCACTCTGGTGGTGCAATGGTGATGCTTGTGCGGCACGACAATATGGGCCTGGGTTAGATTGATGACCAGTGTGTGGATGTTCTCTCCCTGTTCTGCGTGGGTTTCCTACGGGTTTTCTACGTTCCTTCCAGAGTAAAAAAAACAATTACAATGCCATTGGTGTTCGCCAAACAACCAATGTAAGACTTGGTGGAAGAGTCTTCTGACTATTTGTATTATTAAAAGTACCCACACAGACACGAAAATAAACCACTCATTTCACAGCACCCACACCCAAATCCACCTACACCAATTCCACAGGCAAGGAAAAAGGCAACTTCAAATCACGTGAAACCAAAAAGAACTGTAAGCGTCTGAATAGGACCATTACCAAGCACAAAAATACCCACACCTGACCCCTCCACAGCTTCCACAACCAAGCAAAACTCGCACCTACTCCTCCACGGCAACCACACCCACTCCTCCACGGCAACCACACCTACTCCTCCACGGCAACCACACTTACTCCACAGCACCCAGAGCCAACCTGCCCGCCATATAATGTTGAGGATGCGAGTCATAGGTGCTGCGATTTCTGTAGGGTCAATGCAGGGCCTGTTTGGGTTGACGTGATACCTGGTGGTTATTGCGAGTCCCTAAGGTAAGTCTTATCGAGGTTCTGTGTACAACTCGCAGAAACTTGGGCTTTATTCTTTAAGCAACTCTAGATAGCATTTATTGTGTGTTGTATCCTCCACCCCGCAACTTTGATTGGCATGAGTGGCTACACACGGCGAGCAAGAAGTTCAACATGCATGGATATGAAAAATAATAGGTTTTACCCTGTCTGGCAATAATACAGGTGTTACTATGTTCAAACACCAAATAGACAAATAGTGTTAGATGAGAGAAGGCCAAAAAGTGAACAGTAAAGGTCCTATAGATATGTATGCATATGCTAATCGGAGGTGATGGGGGGGGGGGACAACATGCATGTATATGCACGCACATAAGAATAAACATCACGCGCCAAATCCACCCCCGCAGCTCCCACGCCTACTCCGGAGAACCACTCACTCAAAACTCACACCGACTCTACAGCACCCACACCAACCACTCAAAACTCACACCGACTCTACAGCACCTACACCAACCACTCAAAAGCCACACCTACTCTACAGCACCCACACCAACCACTCAAAACCCACACCTACTCTACAGCACCCACACAAACCACTCAAAACCCACACCTACTCTACAGCACCCACACCAACCACTCAAAACCCACACCTACTCTACAGCACCCACACTAACCACCCAAAACCCACACCAACCACCCAAAACCCATACCTACTTCACAGCACATACAGAACGACACGTAAGTATGTGTATATATATCACTTTTCACATCGTATGTAGCCAACCGTGCTAAACGGAGGTACATGGTCGGTTGCAGTGGGTAACGCTCGTGCCTGAATACAGAAAAGGCCTGGGTTCGAATCTTGACTCGGCCACCTTTGTGTGCATGGGATTCCTCTTGGTTATCCGGTTGCGTCAGAGATACAAACACACACGCACAGTGTTAACAATGCCGATGGTTCAAACATCCAACGAAAGACCCTCCTTAAAAGCAATTCTGCCTCGATTCAGTTTTTCCTCGCCAATTAAAGTGAACAATCTATAATTTTACCGTTAAAATTAGCCCAAAAACAAGCCCATTAAACATGGACCATAGTCACCAAAACCACCGTAGCTCTTCCTACTCCTCGGCATACAAACAGCGACAGCTTTTGTAGCGCAGTGCCGCTAACCGCTGCGCCACCACTCCCCCCGACCACGGCGACACTGTATGAACATGCAAATACAGTACCGCAGATTGGCTAGGGTGCGAAAGACGTTCAATATATACATACGAGTACTGTACATTAACCGCGTTGTACGACGGACCGCACAATAAATCGGTGTAGCCTGCGCCCATTGAACGGAGGCACTGCATTGCACAACAATACCAACTCACTCCCGTGGCTCGAGCAGGCGTAGTAGACATTGGAACATCACGCCATACGCAAGACGACATCGAGATACACAGACTCGTGGAGATCCATTGAGGTAGGCGACAAGGGATTAAGACGCAGGCACACAAGTCCACGCGCATTACAGCCAAGCCACAGTCAGTACGATTATGACCATGAAACGAAACATCAACGTATAGCAAAATACACTGTAGTATGGGCTTATAAAACTATTTTTTTTATTTTAGCAGCTAAGGTCCACCGAGCTATATAGGTCTTTTTCAGCAATGACTTCAAGGAAGTGGATTTTCATCACGTGGCCATTTACATTAGCCAAATACTCTAATACACGCGATGTTGATTCTAATTGTGGAGGCAAAAACCCTGAGGACCCGGAGAAAAATCCACGCGACCACGAGGAAGAACACGAAACGTACAGCACGGGGAGAACACGAAACGTACAGCACGGGGAGAACACGAAACGTACAGCACGGGGAGAACACGAAACGTACAGCACGGGGAGAACACGAAACGTACAGCACGGGGAGAACACGAAACGTAGAGCACGGGGAGAACACGAAACGTACAGCACGGGGAGAACACGAAACGTACAGCACGGGGAGAACACGAAACAGACAGCAGGCGTCAGGATCGAAGCCCCGACCTCCCGCATAGCGGGCGAGGGAGTTAACATCTCGCCACCGTGGCTTCAACAGAGGATTAAAAAAACAAAACGACCCTGATGCACTCTTCCTCGCGGCTAGGCAAAGCTCGACATTTAGCTCTGGAAAATATCGCCATCGTACGTTACATTGCCATAAGGCGAAACATTACCATGATATACCCGTGTTTTGTAAACATCGCTTGCAAATAATCACGGCGCTTTCAACCGTAACTCATTAATAAACAAACCCCAATACTCACCAATTATCTCGGCTGGCTCTTGATTCTCATCATCAATCATCTCAATTGATGACCCCACCACACATTGACCCCAAAGACACAACATACCCCCATACAGCGAGTGGCAGCGTCTACGAAAAACCGCAGGGCAAATGAGGTGGTTGGGCAAGCACCACGCCCGACCGCCTTTGCCTCCCCAGTGGCGATGTTTACTGCACACCGCACCAGGTATTCACACTTGAGGCCCCACGACGGGTTCAGACGATCGTCACCACTGCTGGTGGTGGCCTTGAGCGGGAATCGAACTCCGGTAGCGGAGGTTCGCAGCGCGCGCCACCCCTCCCCCCTCAGCCACCCTCTCCCCCACCCCTCGGTGTGGCTCACGTGATAGAGCTCCAGACCAATAGGACGCGCGCTAATTCGCGCACGCGCAGGACTTGTCCCCCCTCCTCTCTCCGTGCCCCGCCCCCTGTACCCGCCCCCCGCAGCCGACATGGCCGCGCGAGCCGAGTTGGCTCGCGCCGCTTCGGTTGAACTACAGTCTCCCTACCTCCGCAGCCGCTTAACAAACGGCAATTGCAACTCTATTCGATTCGGCTATGGCTTTGTGTTGGTGTAATAATGTAAACGAAGTTGGGGTGGGTGGGGGGGGCGAGAAGGCGGGTGAGAGGGGGGGGGTTAAAAAAAAACCACAACATAGAAAATGGCGCCTCCAGCGGCGTCCTCGCACCCCGGAGGTGACGCTCATCTCCCGACCCCGCCACTCCCAATCGGGGCCTCTGCGCACACAAATACCGCGCGCGTACCGTGCGTCGCCGCCGCGGCTCGCGGAAGGACAACTCCGCGGCGCCGGATGGCTGTGCGCGTTCATGAGACGACTTGGATGACGCGTAGGGCTGCACCGCCTCTGCCCAGGCCGCCCCTACAATGGCGCTGCCCGCGAGCGCCGCTTATATACGGGGGTCGTCCCGTCATGGCGCGCTTGCATTGGCTCGCACCGGGTCACGTGGCGTGCAGCGGAGGGAGGGGACCCAAGCCGCGACCAGTCGACGTGGCCCCGCCCCCCTCTCGTCCTCCTGCCCCCCTGCATGGCCCCGCCCTTCGTCGTGCCAGTGCCGCGCCAAAATCCTTGCCCGGCTTTCCCCTCGGCGATAGATCCTTTTGGCAGTTTCTCTTCGCTCGGTGGCGTCCGCCGCCGTCCACTCGCGTTCGCCTCCGAGTCTCGGCTCGGAACGTTCCCGAGCCTCCGCGACGGTCATGGCGGCGCTCACCGCCGCCTCCACTGGGCGTGACACTTGCCCCTCCCTCCATCCCGTCCTCGCCTCCCATTGGTCGCGCGCAGTCACGTGGCGCAGCCGGAGGGGGGGCCCCCGCCGGGTCACGTGGCAGAAACTTCGAGAAGAAGCGATGACGTCACTGCCATGGCTGACGACGAAGGCGACTTCACAAAGCAGAACAGGCGCCGCTGCCGCCCCCCCCCCCAGCACGCAAGGAGTGAATGGAGAGAGGGAGGCCCCCTCCGGGCGGATAAACCTCCGCGAGAAGCGACCCGTGAACGGACGACGCTCGTTGCGCCCGATGAGCTGTGGCACTCGCGCCGTCGTAGTTTTCGCCTTGCGATCGCAATAAAACGATGGTTGACCCTCCCCCTGCAGCCCCGCCCCTCCCCCTGCAGCCCCGCCCCTCCCCCTGCAGCCCCGCCCCTCCCCCTACAGCCCCGCCCCTCCCCCTGCAGCCCCGCCCCTCGCCAACCCCTCCCCCCCAACCCAACCACTTCCCTGAGGTCCACGCGGAGTTGACGTCACTACCATCGGCTCGCGCGCATGCGCAGTGCGCGGCGGAACGCGCGGGAAATGAAAAGGCTTGTGGGGCCGCGCATGCGTAGTTAGTGTCAGCTCCCCCCCCCTCATTCTAACCCCCCCCGCCTCACTCGCCCAACCGCCCTTGGACAATCACCGGGCACGTAATTCGCCGCGTTGCGCGCATGCGCACTGCGCGGCTCGATTGCGCGGGAAAAATGAGACTTCGGCGGCGGTGGGGGGTGTAAGCTGCGCATGCGCAGTTGGTGTCTGTAACGATATCACCACCTGCCCCGTCCCTCGCCTCACGTGACCTCTGACCCCCTCTCCTCCTCTTCACGGTCCCGCCCCCCGCGATGCGCGCGCCACTGCCCCAGCTCGACTAGATGAAGGCCTAAGCTGTATACAGTAATAATAATAAATTAAGATTTCAACGTTTAAGCTTACCCAATTGAGAGGTCGTTTCCTCACAGTTGCGCTTCTTTTGTCGTCTGTGAGCCGATAGGCGTCGCGGTAAGTTTGATGTTTGACGGAATCTCTTGTTTGGGTGTTAACGGATTTTACGCGTGGCCTTGTTGAGTGTGGTAGCGAATCGTGGGTCTTTGTGTTAATTTAATCATAATCGTAATGATGCGGTTTTTTAAAATTATCCTTAATGAAATTAATGTCATATTTGTGACTGTTGTAAGTGTTTAATTTGGTTTAGTCGGGTGTCGTTTTAGGCCGTGAGTGGCTGCTGTAGCTGACTTTGCACTTTCCCATTACGAGATTAAATGCTTGTGTAATGTTGTCATAGTATTCATACGCTAAGTGATTAATGTTATTGTTAAGTAAAGTGCTAATTTGGTTAATTAGTGTCGATGAGGTTCTGGTCTCGCTCTTGAGCGGCCGCTGTCGACAGCACTTTTAACAAATGACCGGCTAAATATTATACAGTACAATACTATTGTTTTGGAATTAATATAGTTAATGTGAGTGTTAATTAGTTTAATTAGTGTCGTTGATGCCACGTCGGTAATGGGTGTCTGATATCGACTGTCTCCCCAACTGACAGGTTAAATTCTGTCATCACGATCCATGGGCAGATAGCCCCAAAGGTGTCCTGCACATTTAATTCGTTTCCGCTTTCCTGTCTGCCTTGTGCCAGTGTGCTCAAGTAGTGTATAGCGTAGTGTATAGTAGTGAAGAATGTAGTGTATCATCATAATCCATGGGCAGATAGCCCCATAGGTGTCCACTAGACATTTCGTAATTCGTTTCCGCTTTCCTCTCTGCCTTGTGCCACTGTGCTCAAGTAGTGCCACATCTTTATGGCACCGATCTCGTATATCGTCAAGCCATTTTCTACATCATGGGACCTCCTTTGCCAGTACCAAAATATGAGAACAGATTTTCCCCTATTTTCTGGCAACAAAACAAGCGTTAAGATGTTAAAACACCAAACTAAAACCTTTTACAAGGAATCATGTCTACATTAACCACAATTCTTGTGGTCAGAATGCAAACAAAAAACCGTACTGTGATAATATATGCATTTTCTTGGTTCTTTCGGTAAAGTCACGTAGAATGGAAATGAAATAATAAAAATAAAACAATAAAAAATGTTTAATTTTTATTATTTTATTTCCATTCTACGTGACTTTAATAAAACAATAAAAAATGTTTAATTTTTATTATTATTTTATTTCCATTCTACGTGACTTTACCGAAAAAACCAAGAAGATGAATCCCTGCAGTCACGAAAGCTTTAAATCGAAATATATAGCATTGTCTTGATTTAAAGCTTTCGTGACTGCAGGGATTCATATTCTTGGTTCTTTCGGTAAAGTCATGTAGAAGGGAAACAATAAAAGAATGTTTTATATTTTTATTATTTTGTTTCCCTTCGTTACTTTCCCGAAAGAACCAAGAATATATGCATTGTCTTTGAAACTGAATGGTAAAAGGTTTCAGTTTGGTGTTTTAACATCTTAACACCTGTTTTCTTGCCATAAAAAAATGGGAAAATCTATTCTCAAGCCATTTTCTGCTCCGTCTAAATTCTGTACAAATCCATAATAAAGGCGCTTTTTTGTGTTAGATCGCGTAAATATAAATGTGTCGCTACACCCGCCACCACCCGAAACAGCCAATTCGTAAGGTCTGTCACGTAAACAAACGTGCCAATCAGCCCCTAATTCAGCACACCAGTGTGTTGGAGAGTAATTCGAGTACGACGTTTTGCTGGTGATTAGAACGAGCTTCATCAGGCGATAGCCAGAATTGTGAAGAAAGTCCTATTTCTATCTTAAATAGCTACAGGCTTAGTGCTGCTTGGAAGCGTATTATCAAGTAATACGCTGTTTAATTGGGTGCCTTTGCAGGTCACCATACGTTGATAAACTGTGACTTAATGTGTATAGCTGCTACCATCCGTGCCGGTCTTATTGTGCCTACGTCACACCCCGTTGCCCGTCCGCAGAAGCCAGTGTGCGCTCGTTTGCTCGCGGGTTCCCGCGGCCAGGGAGAGGGAGGGGAGAGTGTAACTGCGTGAGGTCTGAGCCACAGCGGGCCCCGGATCCCGCGATGGCGTCGGAGGAGAAGAAGGCAGAGGCGGACGGAGAGAAGTCGCAAGCGACGGCGCCACCGGCGAGTTCCAACAGTCAGGGCAAGGTGCGGTGCACGCAGGGGGTGGCCGGAGGCCTCTCCTTTCGCACACTGGGGGTGCCCTCTGGATGACTGCTCCCTTCCCATACTGAAGAAAACGATTGGGATGAGTGATGATGGTGATTCTGGGTGCCACGGTGGCGAGGTGTTAATTACCTCGCCCGGTATACAGAATGTTGCGAGTTCGATCCCGACCTGGACGCCTGCTGTATATTGGAGTTTGCATGTTCTCCTCATGTTCGTCTGGAATTTTCTCCAGGTCATCCGGTTTTTTCCCCTCTAAACACGTGACGTTGATTCGAAATGTAGAGTATTGGACTGCTATAAATTTACACACCATGAACCACTTGGTTGAGCTATCATTTGTGGCCAGGTCGCTTCTGAAAAAGGACTGTATAGCGCAGTGGGCTTTACATAATGCTTAGTTTTTAAATACTTTAACAATGATGATGATGATGATGCAGTTGCCAATTGATGTAGATGACGACGATGATGATTTTGTCTCTTCCCCCATCTCTGTTCCCCCTTTCCCCCACCCCACCCTCCACCCCCCTCTCCGCCCCCCAGCCGACCCCAATGAAGCCCAACTACACGCTCAAGTTCACGCTGGCCGGCCACACCAAGGCCGTGTCCTCCGTCAAGTTCAGTCCCAACGGAGAGTGGCTCGCCAGTTCCTGTGAGTTCTCTCCATAATCCAGACAGCGGCGATGTTAAAGCAGCTGATTTGGTGACGCCGTTGTGTCAACTATTTTTAATTTTACCTGGTAAGGCCCACTGAGCTATATAGCTCTTTTTCAGAAGTGACCTGGCCACAAATGATAGCGCAACTAAGTGGGCTTATCACTTGGAAATATGTAGCAGCCAAATACTCTAAACGCACATTGATTTTAAATGTGGAGGGGAAAAACCGCAGTACCCGGAGAGAAATCCACGCAACCACAGGGAGAACATGCAAACTCCAAATATAGAGGCGTCACGGTCGGGGATCGAACTCACGACCTCCTGTATATCAGGCGAGGTAGTTAACATCTCGCCACTGTGGCACCCAAGCACAGATAACAAACAACTCAACACGTTAGTCAATGCTATTCTTGCGCATGATGGCCGTATGTTTAGGAGCTGGATACCAATGTGGAGGTCTGCTGCTGACCACGATGAGATGGCTTCAGCAGAGAGAGCGTTCATGTCGTGTTTCTGTTCCTCCTCCATTGAAGGAGCGCAGACATCGGTGGTTTTACTGTGCGGTCCATAGTTTGGGTTGGATGGTCACGCTCGCACAACTGTGTCTTGTCTTTACTGTATCTCTATGGGTCTCTATGTATCTCTGAGTTTCTATGTATGTGTGTCTCTCGAGTTATTATCCAGTCCATAGTGTGGGTTGCATGGCCACAATAGCACAATTGTGTCTGCTCTTCACTGTATCTCTGTGGGTCTCTGTATCTCTGAGTCTCAATATATGTGTGCCTCTGGGTTTATTATATGGTCCATAGTTTGGGTTGCATGGCCACAATCACACTACTGCTGTAGCTGTCTTTAATTTTGCATTCATGAAGGAGATGGGGTGCAGCATCAGCATGTTGATGTTCTGATGCGGTTGATAGTTATAGCAGTGTCTTCAGGAAGGAATGTCAAGCCAGGAGGTTTGCGATGTTTGGGTCTCGAATGAAGTGTTTATTCTGGAGTACTCGTCAATAAGACTGCCTTGGCCTTTCAAAGGAAATAATATATAATAGGTGCTACTTCAGTTTAACACGTAGGCTTTCGCGACCAATATTATTCATTATAAAGGTTTTTGGGTTAGATCGCGTTAGTTATAAACGTGTCCTAACCCTCCACCACCCGACACGGCCAATCGGCAAAATACAAGTGTCACGTTGACAAAGACAATTAGTTCACTACTTTAGCCCACCGGTGTGTTGAAGAGTGAATCCACCACATTTACAGTTTTAATGCGACGTTTCGCTGGTAATTACATCCAGCATCATCGGGCAATTCGCCAGGTGCTACTCCACATACAGCAATACCTTGACTTTCGTCGCTTCGCTGTTTTGGCCGTTTTCAATTTTTACCACATTTCAAATTTCGTCCGCGTGCTTTTCTCTTTCGTCCGATTTCATCTCAAACCTTCCACAACGTTCGCGCCACGCGCCATCTTTTTCACTCAGTCTTTGAATGGAAGTCGTTCAGTGAGCATCTCTTATATTTGTTTATTCATATATATTATTATTACTGTACTTCTGTGATTTTCCTGTAAACAATTCATAGTTATTGTTGTGATAACAGTATAATACTACAGTGTTCTTAGTTATTTTCGTGATTATAAAACACATGTACAGTATTCATACTGTGCTTATTTTTGTGATTACTGTAAAATACTTATTTTTGTGCTTTAATATATTCACAATGGCGCCTAAGTGTGGCGATATTAAAGCTAAAAGAACCCATAAGGTTCTCAATTTGCATGAAAAGCTTGACATCAAACTTAATGAGCGAGGCTAAATAAATGCTCTGCTTTGCCATTCGTACATTTTTTACATTCGTAACCAGGCGAAAGTGCAAGGTATTCCTGTACTCACCGCACCAGATACTCGTATGTAAGGCTGGGTTGACAATATCCTTTAACACTCGTCACTCTGAACCGTGTGTGCACCTCACGTGTGTGTCCTGTTGCGCACTTTGCAAAATATATAATGGGCGACGTTTCAGGCAATGGCCCTTCTTCATAGCACGTAAAAAAGGTGCGATTTTAAAATATATAAATATATATGGTTCCTCTTAAAGCCACACAGTGTTGTTGACCAATGTGCTGAGTTTTGTTAACAGCCATATAAATACAGTCTGTTCTCCTATAACGTGGTTGTTGCGTTCCTGAAGAACAACGCATTGTAGAAAAATCGTACTATAAATACTATAGAGTAAAGCACAGTCTGCGATAACAGGTGAGATGCGTACACAGGCTGAACAAACACTGAGGTGCGTGTAGGGTAGCATCTAGAAGCATTCAGCAGCATCCCGCCTTGTGCGAAGCTATGCCGAGTCAGCCGTACGACCGTTTATTCTTACTCAGGCGACGTACTTCTGTTCACTGGATCACGTTATATCCAATTCGCATCCGCGTTATAAAAAATGTGTTCCCCAATACATTCATATGCGTGTGATTTTGTTTTTTGTGTGTGTACTGCATGTTATTGTGTACGATATGTGTGTGTGATGTGTGTATGTGTGCGTGTTCATTCACAGCCGCTGACAAGCTAATAAAGATTTGGGGTGCATACGATGGGAAGTTTGAGAAGACCATCTCAGGGCACAAGCTGGTGAGGGGGATCCGCCCAAATAAAGACAAAGATTCGCCGTATAACCTTGATAGACTATTAGAGCAAGTGCTGTTAGCTCGCAGCAACTATGAAGGCCGGCACTGCACACGAAGGGGTAGATGTCCAGCATCATGCCTGGCCGGCCACTCTTGTCTCTCTAGTGCCGATGTTTACACACTGCACCAGATACGATTTTTTTGGGGTTGAGTCGACCTAGGTCAGGACCGATTCAGATAATCTACGCTGTTGTTGATCGTGAGTGGGAATCGAACTCGGGTCTTTGGGTTTATAGCGCAGCGGTCTAACCGTGACACTCCCACTCCCAATTTGGAACCCCAGTCTATGAGTACCCTATTGTGATAGTACAGGACATCATATATCCGACCATCACATTTCCACCGTGACCAATTAACTGCCCAGGCCCAGTGCACTATTTGTGCTTGGCATAACAACTATAATTTCCTGTAGACATTCACATATGTGACCTTTTCACATATCTGCCCATAGCTCAGTCCCTATTGAGTGGGATATACGATCTGCTGCTCATGATGATGGTGGTGAATGCTGCTGATAATTGTAATGCTGCTGATAAAGATGCTGATGTTGATGCTAATGCTATTGAAAATGCTGATGATGCTGCGACGGATGTTCATAAAGCTGCTTGTAATACTACTGATGCTGTTCTTGCTGGAAATGATGATGCTCATGGTGCTGCTAGTCTTGGCAATTAATACTGATGATGTTGCTGCTACAGCAGGTGATGCTGATGACAATTCTGTGGATGCCGCTGCTACTGGTGATGATGCTGATGATGATTTTCACAGGGTATCTCTGACGTGGCATGGTCCTCGGATTCGAATCTCCTTGTCTCAGCCTCTGATGACAAAACCCTGAAGATCTGGGACATGAACTCGGTAGGTACCGACTCGATCTCTGACCCTGCCCGCGATCCCTGACCGTAGACCCCATGACCCAAATGCCCAGTTGCACCACGGTGGCGAGATTTTAACTACCTCGCCTGGTATACAGGAGGTCGTGGGTTCGATCCGGACCCTGACGCCTGTATATTTGGTTGCATGTCTCTCTCCCCGTGGGCATGCAAGTTTTTCTCCATTTTGAAACATGCGTTTATAGAGTATTTGGCTGCTATAAATGTACACATGAGCTACTTTGTTGAGCATTATTTCTGATGGCCAGGTCGCTTCTGAAAAAGAGCAATGTAGCTCATTGGGCCTTACCTGGTAAAATAAAAAAAATAGTTTAGTAGTTGAACTTATTTTATTGGTTGGATGACGGAGCCGCAAATCGGTGACAGTCATCAATTGGATGACATCCCCAGAATATTCGTGGTGCATGGAGCACTACCCTGCCTTTACCGTGCCCTGCCTTCTCCGCCCTCCCTTGCCCCTGATGGCCCTGCAGGGTAAATGCCTGAAGACACTGAAGGGACACAGTAACTACGTGTTTTGCTGTAACTTCAACCCCCAGTCGAATCTCATCGTCTCAGGCTCGGTGAGGATCGTGCACACATGCAGCGTGCGCGTCCATGCGTGAGCGTGTGGGGGGAGCAGTGGCTATGAGCCCGGGAACCCGAGTTCGATTCCCGTTCATGGTCACCAACATCAGCGACGATTATCTGAACTGATCATGAGCCTCCCATAGGTCGACTCAGCCCCAAAAATGAGTACCTGGTGGGGTACGTAAAGATTGTCGCTCAGAAGGCAAAGGTGTCCGGGCGTGGTGCCGGCCCCTCCCCACCCACTCGTGTGCCGTGCCGGCCTTCATAGGTGCTGCTCGCAAACGACACTTGCCCCAACAGTCTATTAACGACTACGCAGGGGCTCTTTGTCTTGGGCGTCAGGAGACGTGTGTAACGTGTAGTATAGTGTGATGTGGTGTGACGTGTGGCATGTGGCGTTGTTGGCACAGTAGGGGACACAGCTGGTGCATCTACTAGTCATCTCAGTCCGTCAACCCATGGCACCTGGGTCTGTCCCGTGACCTCCTGTCAGTGAGCCTTTGATACTTCACGTGGCCTCAAAGTGTACACCTAGCCTGGCACAGGCACCGTGGTGACGTCAACATCGCTTAGTGGTGAATGGCGGGTATTGGTGGCATTGTCTGATCTCCCACTGCAGAACAGTGGGATAACACACAAACTCCACGTAGAAAGGCACCCGTGTCGGGGATCGAACCCAGGGCCTGTTTGCTGTGAAGCACAAACTTCACCACAGCGCCCTGCTAATTGCCGCTGTCATTAATCGACCCTGTCGTTGCTGCGACCCCAGTTTGATGAGAGCGTGCGCATCTGGGATGTGAAGACGGGGAAATGTCTCAAAACGCTGCCTGCACACTCCGATCCCGTGTCAGCGGTGAGATGCACCCCACCTGTGGCACACCACCACACTCAAACCGCACCATCACACCCCACCGCACTGCACCATCACACCCCACCACAACACACCACGGCACACCGCCGCACCACTGCCGTGTGAGCTGATATCCGTGTCGCTGTTGTGTCAGGTTCACTTCAACCGGGACGGCTCCCTCATCGTGTCCAGCAGCTATGACGGGCTATGGTGAGAGACACTACCCATACCACTTTACCCACACATACTACCCACTCAACACCCACAAACACTACACTACCCACACACAGTACACACAAACACCCCCATATAGCCTTAACAGACTGTTGGTGCAAGTGCTGTTCGTGAGCAGCACCTATGAAGGCTGGCAAGTCACACGAGGGGGTGAGTGGCCAGCCCACCCACACCACGCTACCAACAAACACTACACTCCCCACACCCACTGCGCTTCCACACTACCCACACGCACTGAACTACCCACACACATTGCCCACACACCACATTGCCCACACACACACCACATTATCCACATTATCCACACACACCACAACACCCACACACTACACCCTACACTACATCCCACGCAACTTATCGACATGGAAACGAAGGCCAAATTGTGCGCGAGGAAGCGTGGGAGGGGGAGCTTGTGTGTGCTTAATGCCAAGAGAATCATAATCAGAATATTTATTTATCCTGAAGAAATACGATGAGCTATGAAGCTCTTTTTTATAGATATCCAGTAGGGGTGGGTCAGAAAGTTACAATAACAAACAATACAATAACACAACAGGAGTGCAAAGTATAGGAAAGGTAAACAAGTCGCTGACAAAAATATACAAATAAGACGAAACACTTTATTTAAACAGGTAAAGCCCACTGTGCTATTCGCTTATTTTTCACAAATGACAGCTCAGTGAAGTGGCTTATCACGTGGACATTTATAGCAGCCAAACAGATTGAGAATTTTTGTTACCATCAAAACACGTGCGGCGCAGAGCCGGAGCGGCGATGACATCACCACCTTGTGGTGCAGCAGGAGCCAGGTGCGTCTGTGGCATGGGAGGGGTCTGCGGAGGTGGCGACGGCGGCTTGACGAGGCTCTCACCCAGCAGTGGCCAGGGCACTGTTGATGATGATGATGAATTGGCTGGTACTTGCTGCCTTAACGCAGCATCCACGGCATCTGATGTTGATGCAGAGCAACAACTTAAATTTGACATTCAGGTGGTCAAGCCGGATAACCGCGTCGGGAGTAGCGGGGTTCATTGCTGTGATATCTCCTTCATATTGGTGGATCGGGCATTGCGCCGTTATACGTTGTACGGTCTGTTCTGGATGACCACATTCACGCACTATTGGAGAGTTTTAAATTTTCCATCTGTGCACTGTGACTGCCGCACTTATTATTTTCCCTGTTCATTGCCAACTTTTCCCTCTCCTTTCTCTTCGCTTTCTACCCTCTTGGCCCAGACGTCTGTTAATCTCGCCGTCTCGTCATTGTCTCCCATTCCTCCCCTCCTTTCCCGCGTCCCGCACAGCCGGATCTGGGATACAGCATCAGGACAGTGTCTCAAGACACTCATAGGTGGGTCCCCCACCTCCAGCCTCCCCCCCCACCCCAACTTCCCAACTCACATTCTCACCAAGTAGTGGAGTCCGTGTTGACTCGGACAGAGTGATCAGGTGTTTTACGAGGGGGTCGGGTCAAGCTGGGGCCATCGTGTGGCCAAGCAGGGGCCTCGTGTGGCCTCACAATCCCTCTCCCGAGGCCGACGGTCGTCCACGCACTCTGGTGCTTGCTTCGCGACAGCACGAATGCATTCTCAGAGATGGATCGATGCGTCATCATTGCGCGGCATAATTGTCCCTGTGTGTGGCTACCTCTGTGCAGGCTGCCCCTGTGTGAGCTGCCACGGGTTAACCCGGCCCACACCCCTTCTCACTCTCTTTGTCTCCCCCCCCCCCCCCCCTCTTTCTGCAGACGACGACAACCCCCCTGTGTCATTTGTAAAGTTCTCTCCCAACGGGAAGTATATCCTTGCTGCCACGCTGGACAGGTGGGGGACTCGCATGCATCTTGAGCGCTTTTCATGAACACTGACCCGGTCACAATGTTTCATGTGCGTGCGTGCATACATAGTGTGTGGGGAGTGGTCGTGCAGTGGTTTGCACGCTACACTACGAACCTGGTGACCTGAGTTCGATTCCCGCTAACGACCAACACCAGTGACAATTATCTGAACCGGTCTTGGGCCTCCCCTAGGTCGACTCAGCCTCAAATGAGTACCTGGTGTGGTGTGTAAACATCTCTACTGGGGATACAAAGGCGACCGGGTCACCCACCCCCTCATGTGCCGTTCCAGCCTTCATAGGTGCTCGCTAACAGCACTTGCCCTTAGTCTGTTAAGGCTATGCAGGGGATCTTTGTACATACTCGTTCTTATATATTGGGGGGGTGCGCGTAGCGTAGCAGTGGTGCAGTGATTAACAACTGCGCTATGAACCCTGAGCCGCCCGAATTCTATTCCCGACCACTGCCAAGACATCAGTGGTGATCATCTGAACTGGTCCCCATGCCTCCCCTTAGGTGGACTTTACCTGGCTAAAATAAAAATAGTTTAGTTTCATTTGCATTTCGTTATTTGTGATTTGCTTACCTTTCCTATACGTTGCACTCCAATTGTGTTTTTGTATTGTTGTTGTAATGTTCTAACCCACCCCGACTGGACATCTGTGAAAAAAGGGATTTATAGCTCATCGGGTTCCTGCAGTATAAATAAATATTCAGATTCTGACCCGCTTTAAAAAATTAGTAGGTGGTGCGGTGTGTAAACATCGGCACTGGGGAGACAGAGGCGGCCGGGCTACCCACCCCCTCGTGTGCCGGTGCCGGCATGCATAAGTGCTGCTCGCGAACAACACTTGCCCCAAGAGTCTGTCACAAGCTCTACGGGGGATCTTTGTCTTTGTGTAACACAGCTGTACCCTTACCCCACCCTAGTACCCTGAAGCTGTGGGACTACAGCAAGGGAAAGGTGAGATGTCCTCACTGACCCCAATCCACCCACACAGCTAAAACCTTGCTACAAAATACGCAACTCCAGTTGGTTCTGTACGGGCGAAGGTGAGAACTCGAGAGAGACCGGGATAGAGAGAGAGTCTTCATTTTGCAATAGCGAGTGTGACCTGGGTTACGGAAGTGACAAAAGCTAAAGCAAAATAAAAATAACAGACCGCAATGAAATAATTAGAAATTGGGGCAAAGCAACCGCGTCAAGCGACATAACGAATGCTTTGCACGCGGCGTGAATCGCTGTTAAAAATTAGATTCCCCCTGTCGCGCGAGTTGGCCTTGGACAGCATGTTATCGGACCAATCGCAGCACTATTACAACACTTGAGTTACAGAAACATTACACGGACGACATCAGGTGACTTGTTCCAATGCCTTAACAAACAAGGGAACACGAAGAATCGACTCTGGCAGCCGGGCAGGCGCGTTGGTACTGACCACCCACCCCCTCCTCGTCAGCAGTGCTGGCCTCCTTCATGGGTTGCAACAGTGGCGAGATGTTAACTACCTCGCCTGTTATGCAGGAAATTGTGGGTGTCATCCCGAGCTTGACGACGTCTGCTATATATTTGGAGTTTGCGTCTCTCTCCCCATGGCCACGTGGATTCTTGGCTGTAGAAATTCTAGTCTGAAAAAGCGCTACACAGCTCAGTGGGCCTTACCTGGTAAATTAAAAATAATGTAATAGTTTTTTAGTTTAGTTTTCACAGGCGCTGTCACTTGATAACTACACTTGCCGTTGACAGGCTAGTAAAGGCTACACGGGTCTTTACATGTGCGCGTGTGGCGAGTGATAGTGTAGCGGTTAGCGTGCTGCGCTACAAACCCAGCGACACGATTTCAATTCCCACTCACGGCCAACACGAGTAATAATTATCTGAACTGGTTCTGGGCCTCCCCTAGGTTGACTCAGCATCGCCACTGGGTAGACAAACACGGTCGGGCATTGTGCTGGTGATTCACCCCACTAATGTGTGCTGTGCCGGCCTTGATAGGTGCTCGCTAACTGCACTTACCCCAACCCGTCTTTTAAGGCTCTACGGGGATCTTTGTCTTTGCCCCTGTGCAGTGCCTGAAGAGGTACACGGGACACAAGAATGAGAAGTACTGCATCTTCGCCAACTTCTCCGTCACGGGAGGGAAGGTGCGAGCCCTTGCTGCTTGTGGTGTCGGGTTGTTGTCACGTCGGCTTGTGATGACATTAACCCCCCTATCTGCTAAATCGCTTGATGAAGCTGGTTGTAATAACCAGCTAAACGTCACAGTACTCGAATTGTAAATGTTGTTGGTTCACTCTTCCAACACAACCGGTGTGCTGAACTAGTAACTAATTGGCATATTTTGTTTACGTGACAAACCTTACTAATTGGCTGTGGCGGGGTTTAACGACACACACTTATGCAATCTAACGCAAAAAATAGCCGTTGTTATGCATCGGGTTGTTGTGTGTGGTGTCTTTATTATCGAGGTCGCCTGAGCACAAAGGCACAAAAACGGCATGCGGCTTGCAACAAACAGCACTTTTTTTAAACTTTATAAGAGAGCCTTTGCTCGAGGCGCTTAACACAGTTTATAAAACGGTACAATACGAAGACGATATGTATGGCAGGGACGTGCGTGGGCTGAGGAATGGGTGACCGCGATAGAGGGGTGCTACATAGGGGTTACGAAAAGGGCTATAAGGGAGGGCAGGGATGGAGTGGAGGGGCGAAGGGAGGGAAGAGGGAGGGGAATGGGGGATGGAGAAGAGGTGGTGAGGCTCTGAGGGAGGGACTGAAGGAGGTTAAGGAGAGGGGTGGAGGTGTGCTTAATGTACTAGGGAGGTTTATCCACAGCGAAGGGTTGTAAGTTGAAATAGAGAAAGGGTGGAACACGTGTCTTGAATTGAGCGAGGTAATTGTTATTCCATTGGGAGGGAATGAGAAGATGAGGACGACGATGATGATGGGAGGGAATTCCACAGTGGAGCGGTTCGAGGGAAGACGCAGAGAGAAAGGCGTTGAGTGTTGTCGTGGCCTTGCAGGCGTGGTGGTTGAGTGGGGTGAGTGTGAGTGCATTGTTGTAACTTGAAGTGTGGTAGTTGAGTCAGCCCATGGCAGCTGGGTCTGTCCCATGACCTCTTGTCAGCAAGCCTTTGACACTTCACGTGGCAGCAATGTGCACCTGGCCTGGCACAGGTGTCGTGGTGACGTCACTGTCACCGGGTGGCAAATGGCGGGTATTGGTAGTTGAGCGGGTGAGTGGGTGGGGAGGAGGTGGCTTGCGGGGAGGGGGGCGTGAAGGGAGTCCTTCATCCAGCAGTGAATTGACCATGACTGCTGTTGACGATGCCGGCGGGACGATGCGCGTGACCGTCGTGCGTTGCGTGTGTGTGTGTGGACTCGCCGCTGGCCCGCAGTGGATCGTGTCCGGCTCTGAGGACAACCTGGTCTACATCTGGAACCTGCAGACCAAGGAGATTGTGCAGAAACTGCAGGGACACACGGGTGCATGCACCACCCCCCCACGCCCCCCCCACGCCCCCCACACCCCCCACACCCCTCGCCCCTCTGACTCACAATCGTATCCCCACCCCCCCTGACGTTGCCCAGAGCCGTCCCTCGTGTAGAGAATCTGGGCGACCGCCCCGGGCCCCGCGCTTTGGGGGATTTGGCCTCCGTGCTTTGACGTCACGGTGTTGGACGTATTACTTGCGGTTTAGTTAAAGCGTTGGAAAGGCCCACACAGTGTGACTTGCCCCGGACCCCGCACCGCCCCCTATGGACGGCCCTGACCTTGCCTGTTCTATTCTTGCGCAAGATAGCAGCAGCAGCGATATGCCTTGCCGAGTAAGATAAAAAAAAATAGTTTAGTTTTATTCGTATATAATTTTAAAAGTGATTTGTTTACCTGGCCTATAATTTGCACCCCTGTCGTGTTTCTGGATTATTTTTTGTTGTAACATTCTGACCTACCCCTACTGGACAGCTGTGGAAAAAGGAGCTTTATAGCTCATCGGATCCCTCCAGTGTAAATAAATATTCTCATTCTGCTCAATGTGGAGGTCCTGCTGCTGCTGTTGCCGGCCACGACAGGAGGGCCTTAGCAGAGAGGCGTGAGTGCCGACACCACCACCTTGCCGCCCATACTCATCACCACTCTCCCTTCTGCTTTTTTCTCCCCTCCCGACCCCCCCGTACAGACGTGGTGTTGTGTACTGCGTGCCACCCCACAGAGAATATCATCGCGTCGGCCGCGCTTGAAAACGACAAAACCATCAAGCTGTGGAAGAGCGACTGTTAGGGGCGGGGGTTGGGTTGGGGGGGGGGTGGGGGGGCGGGGCGGCCGCTTCACAGTCCTACCCACAATTTTGTGCGTTTGTCGGGAGGCTTAAAAGGGTCACGGTCCGCAAGTGGAATTTTTATGGTGATGGCGGGGCCACCGGAAACAAATGCCGCGGGCGCGTGAAACCGCGTAAGGGCAAGCCGCGGGGTGGGCGGCGGTGGGGGGTGGCGTAGCTGCGGTAGGCGCTTCCTTTCCGAGACAGCGGAGGGCGGGGGGGGAAACGCGCGTGGGGGACAGAGGAGCCATTCGGGGTGCGCGTGCCATGCGTGAGAAAGAAGGCGTCGGGAGAGGCTGCAATATACGGCCACGGGACGAATTACATCAGGAGAGAGGAGGAAGGTGAAATCTCCTTGGGAGAAGGCGAATTTGTTGCAGTGAGTCCATCTCTCGTGACGCCCTGAGTCAAATGGAGACATCTCAGCTTGTTGTCCCACCCCCCCCCCCCGCAACTCCGATTGGCACGGTTGGCTACGTACGGTGCAAAAGAAGTTCCATTCATACAAAGTTTACTGTACATACATCGTGGCCGGGAGCGGAGGTTTAAACGTGAGGATGGGAGATTCGACTCCAGGCCCCCCGTGACCTCTGCGTCGCTGAAGGCAGCGTGTGAAACAGGAGGAGAATTTGGACTCTGAGCTTCTAATAATTCAGTTAATCACGGTCACTTGGTTCATTCAATAAATGTGTCAGTCCAGTATGTCAATCAGGTCACTCAGCCACTCGCTCAGTTACACAATCAGCCCATCACTTGGTCACTAGGTCATTCATTCAATCAGTCACTTCGTCAATCGTTTGAACCAATCACTGTCACAAAGTCACGAGTCAATTGCTCATTAAAGACGTTTCATTTTAAAGCATCCCACCCATGCACCGACTTTGAAGCCATACATTTTTCAGGGTTTGACGTGTGACGTGCATGACCTCTGCCATCCGATTGTTCAATGCTGTCCCAGCCGGCCACCAGGGGGAGCCGCGATCAGATGTCTGCAGATTTGGGGGCGGCTCATGAACTTGACAGCAGGAAACGCAGCGGCAACTATCCCTGCTGACAGTTGCCCTACAAGTTCCCCACTGGGTCATGACCTTAAACATGCTTGGACGGGGGTGGACAGAAGTGGCGGTGGGGGCGGGAGGTTGTGACGAGAGAGGGGAAGACGGTGAAGGTCGCCCTGGTGTGTGACCGCGTTGCCCTGAGCGTCGCCTGGTTGCGAGAAAGATCCGACTGATCGACTAGGGTCGCGGTCACGGATTGCGAGGTTTCTCTTAAGTCTGCCTCCGCTCACTCTCCTTCCCTCCCAGAGCAGGGGCCGGGCAACATACGGCCCCATGGGATCCAGACTTGACCCTCCCCAGATAATTCATTTCATACGGCCCGCTCTTATTTATACTTTTAACTTCCCATTAGTTTTTTTTTATTAGCCAGCGGGTTTAGATTTCGTGCACACGCGGCCCACAGCAACATTTTAAGCGTCACTCGGGTCACTTCTGTCACCCACGAGGGGCCCTCCCCCCCACCCCGTTAACCTGGCCGACGGGTGCACAACCATCTTGACCTTCGTAACGCTAACGCCAGGGTGTGTGCAGATGGCGGGTGCGATTGCCCGTCGCCAGAGAAGTGATTTGACAATTGTTGGGGGAGGTTTCCCCAGCAACCCTTACTGTGCCAACAGGGCTGGGCCTCTCTCGTCTCGAGGCTAAACCGTGGGTGGCCCAATAACTTAACACCTCCATGAACCGGCTCGGCCACAACAACAGCATCGCCACCACCGCTACCACCAGTCGCCAGGTGTGGCTGCTGGCCTCTTGCTCTGAGTTGGAACGCAGACAAGGCAACATCCATTGGTGGACCCGGTGGAAGCCTGACCCTCATCGTCACGATTTACGGGCAGACGGCCCGTTTTGTCATTCGTATCTTGGCCCCTCAGTGTAGGGAAACTCGGAGGTCGAAAGGCTGAATGGGGATTTATTTTACTTGGGTTGTGTGTGAATAGTCTTGGCGTCAACGCGGGACCAAACGAACTTCAGCTTCATTACCGATTTGTTTTTATTTTCCTCACTGCACAACCGAACCGTGCTGGAGACGGCGGGGGGGGTAACGGGCACGGTCTGATGCCATGAGCGGGGTGACAGCTTCGCCATTGTCTCTCTCCGGGTGGCACCCGGCACGCCACGTCCATTGTACGCCTCACTCCGTCTGTCACCGCGAGATGTGTGCCACCGATTTCAGTCGACCAGCGATCGGCCACACCGCATCGAAGAATGCCTCTCGCCCATGGCCGTGGCTTCTCCGAGTCAAGTCCCACATCCTACTACAGTCTATCAGTGACACTATTTCAGCACACCACATCCAGTATACCTGTCACACCGCATCGAAGAATGCCTCTCGCCCATAGCCGTGGCTTCTCCGAGTCAAGTCCCACATCCTACTACAGTCTATCAGTGACACTATTTCAGCACACCACATCCAGTATACCTGTCGCTATGATGACCGTGATCGTCTTTTTTTAATAATCGGCATCCCTGACGAAGATCCGATGGAGAAATTGAGCCCCTGGCGTTGAGGATCTGGGGGGTGGGGGGCGACTATGGGGAAGACCCCTTGGCCGAGACGGGGAGGGAGTCGCGCGCGTCGATACATTTCGGCCGGTGTTCATTTTTTTAAATTGTCATCAGTTTGTTTTCAAGTAAAATGGAGTGATAACCCAAACGAGTGTGCGTCGGGTGATGAATTGTACTTGCACTACGGCGGCCCTTCCCCCTGTCGGAGTGGCTCTGCTGATGAAGGGTGTGGTCTGAATCGTCTTGAAGCCAGATTCGTGCACCAGTCGGTGAGATAAGCCACATTTGGGGACGAGTTTTGGATTATTGGAAACAATCTGATATTGAGGGACAGTTTGGGATCTTTACTGGACTTCTGTATCATTTAGTACGTGTGATATTTGTTGATGTGTGATAATGTTTGATTTTTCGACAAATTTTACTTAGCATATCGGCAACATTAAATACTTGCCGATAATTGAGGATGTGCTCAGTAAGTTTATCACATTGTGGAAAATAAATTATGTACACAAAACAAAGCATAGCAATAAATGTCGATACGTAATTTTTACACAATCTTATAACATTACTCCTCGACGAATTGTGGTCGTGTCTGGGGGGAGGGGCTTAAAAGGAGAGGCGCAGAGCTGAAAGCGTTGGGGTGTAATAAGGAAGATTATGGGGGCACAAGGAGGAATGGCTGGGTTCTGCACAGGTTGCACTCACCTGCTACGTTAAAGTAATGAAAGAATAGAATCGGACCAGGCAGCAGTAAGTTTCAGTGTCCCAGATGTGGCCACAGGCCCACTCGTAATTTTAACGCGGCCTTCGTGCTGACAATTGGGACGTCGCCGGACAGCACGTGACGACGCATACCTCTGAAGCGGCCACAATACCTCCACGGTTGGCTACGTACGGCGCGGAAGAAGTTCAACATACTGATTGTTTTTTTTGTAAAGTCACGTATGTAGAAATACCATAAAATTATATTTTAATATAATGTATGCAGTCACGAACATACACGTGTAGTGTAGCACAAGTCGGAGACAAGGTAGTTGCAGGAGGCACCTTTAATTGTTGTAACACCGTTCGAGCCGTTCACACGCAGGCTCGCCTCCTCTCTTGCTCACAATGCCGTCCAGCCCAGCCGAGAGAGACGACCCTCACCGCGGTGCCGACAGGTGACCTTCACCGCGGTGCTCCCAGGCGACCTTCACCGCGGTGCCGACAGGTGGCCCTCACCGCGGTGCCACCAGCCGAGAGAGACGACCCTCACCGCGGTGCCACCAGGTGACCCTCACCGCGGTGCTCCCAGCCGAGAGAGACGACCCTCACTGCGGTGCTCCCAGTGGACCCTCACCGCGGTGCCACCAGGCGACCCTCACCGCGATGCCACCAGGTGACCTTCACCGCGGTGCCACCAGGTGACCCTCACCGTGGTGCCACCAGACAACCCTCACCGTGGTGCTCCCAGTGGACCCTCACCGCGGTGCTCCCAGTGGACCCTCACCGCGGTGCCACCAGGCGACCCTCACCGCGGTGCCACCAGGTGACCTTCACCGCGGTGCCACCAGGTGACCCTCACCGTGGTGCCACCAGACAACCCTCACCGCGGTGCCACCAGGCGACCCTCACCGCGGTGCTCCCAGTGGACCCTCACCGCGGTGCCCCCAGTGGACCCTCACCGCGGTGCCACCAGGTGACCCTCACCGCGGTGCCACCAGGCGACCCTCACCGACGGCGTCAACCGGGACACCCAACAACTGTCCGGCCGTGCAATTCTCGCGTGAACGACGTGGGGAGGCCATGATCCAGCAGTGGCTAGACCGTGGCTGATGGTGAATCACAAACCCCGCCACTTGCACAGAAACAACGGGCACATGCCCCCCCTGGACGTCACCGAAAACTCGAGCTATGGGAAATTTTCACAAGGCGGAATGTGACCGCCACTCCTCCTTGCTGGGCCTCCCCCCGAGGTCGACACAAACCCGGGGCTGAAAAACTGCAAAATATCTTCCGAGTTAAACCCTTCACTGGCGGTTAAAACATCGTCGGACACAGAATTATATCGTTTTACCACGAGGCCCTTTTCCACTTCGCCTTTATTAAGCGCCGCTATTTTAGTCATTGCGGGTGAAAACGATTAAATATCTACACCGTGGGCGGCGTTTTTAAAATATTTTAAATAACAGGTCCCTGCAGGGTGGGCTGATAGTAACATTGGAATTTTGCGCAATTTTATGACATTGTTACATAAAATTGTGCAAATTGAGAGCGTCTTCCCACCTTTTTGCCCTCAAAATCGTTGAGGGTTCTTCGGACAAATTAACCTCTTACACCCAACAGCACGAGATTTCACTTCGTTAAAGTATTGAAAGGGGACGGACGGACGGACACATTCATCTATTGCAGGCTGGTACACTCAGTTTACAAATTCGTTCCTACCAGTATAAAAGTGATCAGATCTATGGATGGTGTCTGACGATGATGAGGGTGGCGGCGATGATGCTGCTGCTGCTACTGAATCGCAAGTCACAACAGTTCGCACGGCCTCGCGTGCACACACAGGAGCACGATCAGTCGTCACACGTGGACACGTCCATTCACACAAGTGGCGGTGACGGCGATTGTGCCAGGCTAGGTGCACTTTCACACACAATCACACGCAAAGATTGTTCCTAAATCCTTAACGTCCTGTTAAAGGGCAAGGCGCACGGTCGGCCTCCTAGCGGCGTTGTTGAGTCGACTTAGGGGAGGGCCAAACACCGCTTGTAATAATGGCCACTGGTGTACACCCACACCTGATAGCCCAGTGTCGCAAGTAGCGAGACTATGAGATGTTAACTACCTCGCCTGGTATACAGGAGGCCGTGGGTTCGCCTGCTGTATCGTTTGGAGCGTACAACTCTCCCTCCCTTACGACCACGTGTGTGTGTGTGGGGGGGTTCCCCAGGGCATCTCTTATATTACAGCCCGCGTGCTGTGACTTGAGCATTCACATCCTGAAACCAGAACAGTTTCACCGATCGCCATCCGACTCGGGGCTGCTGTGGCTCGGACTGGATGGACTTCTCCAACACGAGGTAGGTTCGCGTTCCCTTCACGAGGTGGTGGTGGTGACGGTGCTGACGAACCCCTGGGCCTCCCCGAGGTCGACTCGGCCCCGTGAGAAGCCGGCGCGGGGTGTGGAGTCAACGTCGCCACTGGGGAGACAAAGGCGGCCGCGCGTGGTTCTGGCCACCCCCACCACCTCGTGCGCCACTCGCTAACAGCACTGGCCCCTACAGTCTGTTGAGGCTATACGGGGGGGGTGGTGGTGAGGTGGGGGTAGTGGGGGGTGTGGTGGGGGTAGTGGGGGGGGGGGTGGTGGGGGTAGTGGGGGGGGCGTGGGGGGGGTGGTGAGGTGGGGGTAGTGGGGGGGGTGTGGTGGGGGTAGTGTGGGCGTGTGGTGGGGGTAGTGGGGGGGTGTGGTGAGGGTAGTGGGGGGGGGTAGTGGGGGGGTGTGGTGGGGGGGGTGTGGGGTGGTGAGGTGGGGGTGGTGGTGGGGTGAGGTGGGGGTAGTGGTGGGGGTGAGGTGGGGGGGGTGAGGTGGGGGGGGGTGAGGTGGGGGGGGTGTGGTGGAGGGGTGAGGTAGTGGGGGGGGTGTGGTGGGGGTAGTGGTGGGGGGGAGGTGGGGGGGTGAGGTAGTGGGGGGGGGTGTGGTGGAGGTAGTGGTGGGGGGGTGGTGGGGGGGGTGAGGTAGTGGGGGGGGGTGTGGGTTCAAGGGGATTCCCCGTTCATCCCCACGCGCGTCGTAGAAGTGGCGGGGGATTTCCCGACATCGCGTCGGAAAGAACTTCGCCGCGCAGTTCCACGGTCAATAATTGGAACTGAGCAGAAGTTGGGTACTGTGCAGTGCTTTCCCGATGTAGGGGAGGACATGTTGATGAGTAAAACAATCTTACTTACACCCTCATCTCCGGGTGAGTACACAATGGTTATTTCACTGCTATAGTATTTATATATTTTAATTACTGTATAGGGAGAGAGGAAAAACACTCACCTCGTATTCTCCCCGCGGCTTTCATAAGTGGCGAATCGAAACAAGTTTAATTACAATTCACCAACCCGTTTTAATGGACCGGTGTGGTGAAGTATGGATAAAAATGAATGCTTCCAACGACCAACAGTGCCTTTGACGATGTACAGTGCAGTAATAGGAATACAATTATATTACTAACTTAAGCTTAGAGAAGGAAGTTCCCTTGAGGTAAATGGCTGTTGACTTTCCAAACGGTAAAGTATTGTACTGTTTAGACAACGTTTAAATAGTAAAAAAATAAGTTTAAACCCTGCGAAGGCCTGAGGCCTGGTCCTTTTTCTCCCGATTTGCCTGGAAACAGTCCATAAAAGGCGCCTGCATCACGGCAGGCGATTTAGGAAAATGTCTCCTCGGGCTTACGCAGAAAATACATTTTAACACAATTATACATATAATACCGAGGCGTAAATAAGAAAATATAAGTTGAACATATGAGCCAGGAGGAGTGTGATATGTAAAACAAAAATAAGACTGATGCAGGTTTATCAGCTGCTCGGGTGTGAGCACTTTGTCAATATTGTTGAAGACGGTCCAGCATCAAACAAGACATGAGCTCAAGTTGATTTTGTTGAACCAGGTAAGAATTCAGAGGAGAGACCAGGGTGACACATTTCTATTAACGCGATCTAACCCCAAAAAACTAACTTTTATGAGGGGTGAGTCTTGCTCGTGAGTGGATGGTCTGTGCGGTGTCTTGCACGAAGCTCCCGGACCTGCTCGGCCACGATCTCTCTTCTCTACGCTTGACTAACGTGGAGCCCTCGAATACAACTTTAACACTTTTCCTGGCGACAGACTCCAGCACGACATTACTATAAAGTATACACTACATTACATCACTATACATTATACACTACGTTACTAGACACTACTATAAAGTATACACTACATACATTACTATACACTACATTAAACTATACACTACATTACTATACACTACTATAAACTATACATTACATTACTATACACTACTATAAATTATACACTACATTACATTACTATACACTACTATACATTATACACTACATTACTATACACTACTATAAACTATACACTACATTACATTACTATACACTACATTAAATTATACACTACATTACTAGACACTACTATAAACTATACACTACATTACATTACTATACACTACTATAAATTATACATTACATTACTATACACTGCTATAAATTATACACTACATTACTATACACTACTATAAAGTATACACTACATTACATTACTATACACTACTATAAACTATACACTACATTACTATACACTACTATAAACTATACACTACTATAAAGTATACACTACATTACATTACTATACACTACTATAAATTATACACTACATTACTATACACTACTATAAACTATACACTACTATAAACTATACACTACATTACATTACTATACACTACTATAAACTATACACTACATTACATTACTATACACTACTATAAATTATACACTACATTACTATACACTACTATAAACTATACACTACTATTAACTATACACTACATTACTATACACTACTATAAATTATACACTACATTACATTACTATACACTACTATAAATTATACACTACATTACTATACACTACTATAAACTATACACTACATTACATTACTATACACTACTATAAATTATACACTACATTACTATACACTACTATAAACTATACACTACTATAAACTATACACTACATTACATTACTATACACTACTATAAATTATACACTACATTACTATACACTACTATAAACTATACACTACTATAAACGATACACTACTATAAACTATACACTACTATACACTACACTACTATAAACTATACACTGCATTACTATACACTACTATAAACTATACTCTTTGGTTCTATTCGGTAAAGTCACGTAGGTAAAAAATAAAACAACAACAAAATAACAAAAATCACGACGTTTCGGCCACAACACAAGTGGCCCTCTTCAGGTGAAGGAACAGAACTGTCGGGACGATAGCACTTCAATGACCGCTGCTAAGATTCTCAGCGCCCTGCTCCTCCCACCGAGCTTAAAAGACGCTGCGAATCATAGCAGCGGTCATTGAAGTGCTGTCGTCCCGACAGTTCTGTTCCTTCACCTGAAGAAGGCCACTTGTGTTGTGGCCGAAACGTCGTGATTTTAGTTTTTTTTTACCTACGTGACTTTACCGAATAGAACCAAAGAGTATGGATCCTTGCAGTCACGAAAGCTTCAAATCTAGAATACTATAAACTGTACACTACATTACTATACAATACTATCTACTATACACTACACTATTATACACTACACTACTATACACGACACGACTATACATTACTATACACTACTATAAACTACTATACACTACACTACTATACACTACACTAGTATACACTACATTACAATACACTACTATACACTACACTACTATACACTACTATATACTATACACGACATTACTATACACTACTATAAAGTATACACTACACTACTATACATCACATTACTATACATCACACTACTATACACTACTATAAACTATACACGACTATACACTACACTACTACAAACTGTAAACTACTATACACGACATTACTATACACTACACTACTATACATCACACTACTATACACCACTATAAACCATACACTTCCCTACTATACACTACTATAAACTATACAAAGACTCTAGCTTTTCCTGAGGAATTCCCAGGCGTTCCCAGGCCAGCTGAGCGACACAGTCCCACCACCAGCGTGTCCTGGGCCTGTCTCGAGTTCTTCGCCCAGTGGGACGTTGCTGCTGCCCGGTAGAATTCCAGGGGGAGTCTACTGGGGGGCATCCTTACCAGGTGTCCGAACCACCTCAACCGGCTCTTCTCGATCCGGAGGACCAGCGGCTCGACTCTGAGGCTCTCTCGGATTCCCTAGCTCCTCACCCGATCACGGAGAGTGAACCCGGCAATCCTGCGGAGAAACCTCATTTTGGCCCCTAGTACCTGCGATCTCATCCTTTCGGTCATGAATCAAAGCCCATGACGATAGGTGATGGCCGGAATGTAGATCGACCTGTAAACCGAGAACTCGGCTACCGCTTCACTACCACGGAACGGTACATTGCCCGCAGTGATGATGATGAGAGAGCTAGAGAGACACGCAAACTCCAAATATGCAGGTGTCAGGGTCGGGATCGAACCCAAGACCTGTATACCAGGTCGAGGTAGTTTACATCTTCTAGCCACCGTTTCGCTCTCATGGAATATTTGCGCCAGTTTAAAACTTTTAGGCCAGCCTGCGTCCCATCCTGGGTTTGTTTCACCAGGCTGGATTGTGTGAGGATCTCACAAATCCTTGGGCACATTCCCATCAATGAGCTCTTCCAGCAGGCAAGGCTGCGTTGGCTGGGCCATGTCGCATGCATGCCCACGCAGCTTCCGTTTGGCCAGATAAGGAGGCTAAACGGGCGCAGCATAAGCTAGAGAAGAGATAGACTGATGCGGTACAGGAGTATGTGGAGCTGAGTGGACTTGCCGACTAGCAGTGCCAAGATTGGCCTCTGTGGAGGAGGTTCCTGAAGAATGCTACTGGGCAGTAGAGGCGGTCGCCCTCCCAACAACAGCAGTGGTTGGAGAAGCGACGCTCACAACAACGAGCGTTGCACTTGGCGAGTAAAATACAGCGAGTTGGCACAATGGGGAGCACAGGTGGTGGTGCAACAGCCAGTCATCTCGGTCAGTCTGTCTCGTGACCGGCTAGCAGAGACCCTTCGATTCTTCACGTGGCCTGAAAGTGTGCACTAAAGTGCATCGAACCTGGCACAAGCGCTGTGGTCACATCACCGCCACTTTATGGTAGTTCTGCATGGGTGCTAAAGATTAACCACTGACAGTGTAACCCAGTATTGGCCAAAACATCCCCAAGGCTGAATAATTACCATGCACATCACTCCGTTGAGGATCATACATTAGCAAAAAAGTCCCAACCCCCACCTCTGAAAAAATTATCTGAATCAGAAGTTTATTTCCCAAGTAAAGCCCATTGAGCTAAGAAGCTCTTTTTTGAAGGGCGACTTGCCAAGACGCTCCTCAAAAGGAGACTTGAGACTCGGGCTTTGCTGGGAAAATAAGCGTAATAGTAATATTTAGAAAATGTTCGTGAAAAATATATATTATTTATTTTAGCTGGGTGGTGGTGGTGCCACCTGGCCTGTAATTCAACACTGTGCAGCCTGCGACTGTTGGTGGATCACACACGGTCATGGAACTCCCTTGCGATGGGCATTGAACACTTGTTCTGCCAGGAGAAGGCGGTAAGAGCAAAACCGTGGATTCTATTACCTGTTCCGTCTGTACAGGATCGAGTGTTTCCCCCTCGTACGCACGTGTGGGTTTTCTCCGGGTGCTCCGGTTTCCTCCCGCACTGCGAACACTTGTCATTGATTGGTGCCGATAATACCTTGACATAAAGAGGACTGCAACGCTCGGGCAATTGTTTGAAGCGACGGCTCCTCACCGCGTAGTCGCTGCTGCCGCCGCCGCCACCGCCCTCGCTTATCATCTGTGGTTCCTCCTGGTCCGTCTTGAGTCGTCCTCTGCGAGAGCGATGATTGGGGTACCGTGCGTTGGCGTCACGAGTGAGACGTCTTTTTTGATAGAATAAGCAGACGGCTCGACGCGGACGCGAAACCGGAACACGGCGCCATGCGTTGTGTTCGACTAATCCCGCAGATATGGGCGGACGAATCGCACGGATATGGGGGCGGGCCAGGGGAATTTTAAGAATAAGAAAATTCACAGAAAAGTCAATGTGCTCCACCTGAATAATAATAATAAATAAGCTAGATTTTATTTATAGCCTATCGCAGCAACAATACGGTTCAGGAACTAGAAGCCAAAGTGGAGGTCTCACTGCTGCTGCTGCTCGCCACAACAAGAGGGCTTCAGCAGAGAGAGTCCTTGTCGTGTCGCTGTTCCTCCATTGAGTGGGTTTACTTTAGACACTGACCCATAGACTAACACTGACCCATAGACTAACACTGACCCATAGACTAACACTGACCCATAGACCAACACTGACCCATAGACTAACACTGGAACCATAGACTAACACTGGAACCATAGACTAGCACTGACCCATAGAATAACACTGGAACCATAGACACTCACTGACCCATAGACTAACACTTACCCATAGACTAACACTGACCCATAGACTAACACTGACCCATAGACCAACACTGACCCATAGACTAACACTGGAACCATAGACTAACACTGGAACCATATACTAGCACTGACCCATAGAATAACACTGGAACCATAGACACTCACTGACCCATAGACTAACACTGACCCATAGACTAACACTGACCCATAGACTAACACTGACCCATAGACTAACACTGACTATAGACTAACACTGACCCATAGACTAACACTGACCCATAGACTAACACTGACCCATAGACTAACACTGACCCATAGACTAACACTGACCCATAGAATAACACTGACCCATAGAATAACACTGACCCATTGAATAACACTGGAACTATAGACTAACACTGACCCATAGACTAACACTGACCCATAAACTAACACTGACCCATAGACTAACACTGACCCATAGACTAACACTGACTCATAAACTAACACTGACCCATAGACTAACACTGACCCATAGACTAACACTGACCCATAGACTAACACTGACCCATAGACTAACACTGGAACCATAGACTAACACTGGAATCATAGATGAATATTGACCCAAAGACTAACACTGACCCATAGAATAACACTTGAACCATAGACTAACACTTGAACCATACACGAGCACTGACTAATAGACTTCCACAGTGGGTTTACTGTGGCTTGATTTTCATACCTCTGTGGGTCTCCATGGGTCTATGGTTTCTTCGCAAATTTGATATGTAACTGACCTTTACCCATGTATGGATATTTATATTCTTGGTTCTTTCGGTAAAGTCACGTTGAAGGGAAACAATAAAATAATAAAATATATATATAAAACAATAAAATTCTCACGACGTTTTGACTGCAACACAAGTAGTCATCATCAGCTGTGAAAACCAACGGCAAGAACATTTGAAATAAGTGGCGGTTTGTATTTATTTATTTTTAAACGTTGGCACCACGGATAGCGATTTGACAGTTTGTTTAGATGGACGAGTCCGAGGGGGAAAACGAAAAATGAATGTATGCTGTCTGAAAGCCACCATAAGCGTGAACAATCAATTAAGACCCAAAAAATGATTGCTAAGCCAGAATCCATCTTCTCGGTTGAAATTGTCTCTGTGTTTGTATATGTGAATAGCCTCATGAACGAATCTCTCATGGTAGCCAGATGGCTTGCAAAGAACCTCTGTCTTGGAGAAGTCAATGTCATGTGAGCCTACTGAATTATAACAGTGATCTGCCACGGCCGAGGTGTTGGTCCTACCGTGTTTAAGGTCTGCTTTGTGTTCACGAATGCGGTCCGAGACATGTCGTTTGGTTTCTCCAATGTAACTACTACCACAGAGGCAACTTAGTTTGTAGACACCAGGGTACTGTATGTCCGGAATCACATCTTTTACAGATGGAACCAGATCACGGATTTTATGCAATGTGTTGAAACGGACCTAGATCTTGTGTTTATTCAAGATTTTGGAGATATTTTTTGTGATCCCCGCAATGTAGGGTAAAGTGATGGTTTTGAAAGGCTCCTCAAGAGGGTCCTTCTTCATGGTTTGAGTGATAGCTTTGCGGATTGTATATGTCGGAGTAACCATTAGCCTTAAGAGCTTGGTGTACGTGCTTGAGTTCACTGCCTATGTGTTCCTGGTCGGATATGCATTGGGCTCTATGGTGCAGTCTTGATGAGATAATTCTTCGGTTTCAGATAAGCATCCGTATGGGTAGCTTTCCTGTAGACAGTGGCTCATTGAACCATCAGGTCTCTTTTTTTATTAGGACATCCAAAAAAGGTAGCCTGCCATCTTTTTCGACTTCCATGGTTAATCTGATGGCTGGGTGTATGGAATTGATGTGGTCGAAGAATTGGTCTAGAGCAGGCCGGCCATGTGGCCAGATGACAAAAGTGTCATCCACGTACCTCTTCCATAAGATTGGGCTCAGAGTGTCAGTCTGGATGGCGTCAGTCTCAAATTTCTCCATGAAAATGTTGGCTATAACCGGAGATAGGGGGGAGCCCATTGGGGTGCCCTCAGTTTGTTTGTAGAAAGTTCCATTCCAAGTGAAGTATGTATTGGTTAAACAGTGTCTCACCAGGGGGGGTACCTCAGTGTTTAGTCCTTGATGAACCAAGTCTTCAATGATTGCGATGGTGTCAGGTACAGGAACTTTGGTGAATAAGGAAACTACATCAAAACTGACAAGCAGGTCATCTGGGGACAGGGAAATACCCTTGAATGTCGATACCAGGTGAGTAGAATTTTGTACCGCAGAGGTGGTTTTTCCAGTGAAAGGCCGCAGGATTTCAGACAGAAAACGAGCCAGTTTGTAGGTGGGGGAGTTGATAGTAGAGACAATGGGACGAAGGGGTGTATATATATTTTATTGTTTCCCTTCAACGTGACTTTACCGAAAGAACCAAGAATATGAATCATTGCAGTCACGAAAGCTTTAAATCATGTATGGATAGTTACATTTTAATGTGCAGTTTTATTGAGGGACTACTGTGTTGTTGTCTTGGTGTTGCCTGGGACTTTTTTTGTTGTAGATTTGTTTTTGGCTGCCTTGCCCAAGCTTGCATTAGTATTGACACATCGGCAGGAATTGATTTACTTTTGCAATTTGTACTTGTTTACTTTTTATTAAATTTTCAGTGACTTGCATCCTATCCTTTGCACTCCTATCATGTTTTTTTTATTGTTTGGTACTGTAACCTTCTGGCCAGCCCCTACTGGACATCTCTGAAAAAGAGCTTTATAGCTCATCGTATTCTTCCATGATAGATATTCTGATTCTCTATGGTCCATAGTTTGGGTTGCATGGCCACAATCGCACTGTTGTGGCTTGTGTCTTTAATATCACCACTTATACCCAATGACAGCGATTCTTGTTTCCAGACAGGACAATGGGCTCAGGCATGAGTACGTAGATCAAGGTCCCACCCATGTAGCTCAGACGGCACTTGGCCACCCACTCTATTAGCAGTCGCCATTGTCTACACGAAGAACAATGGCACACAGACACAGGCAAAAGAAACTCCCTCCCTGTGTAGCCCACATGAGCTGCTGAGGCAAGTGCTGTTAGTGAGTGGGTGGGTGGCCAGTACACCAAATGTGCTCAAATTCCCTCCCTCCAGGCCCCTCTGAGCCGTGCATGGCCCACGCGGTGCCAGCGAGCGCACATGGGCCGGAGTCGATCGCCGGGAGGGACGCCGTCGGCCACGACGGCCAGGGGGACGAGACGGCGGAGGCAGAGGCGGAGGCTGCGGCTGCGGCGGGACTGAACCCGGCCATCCTGGGCTCGGCGCCCGACCCCAAGCACCTGTGCTGCCACTGCTGCCTGCTGCTGCGCACGCCGGTGCAGACGCAATGCGGCCACCGCTACTGCCAGGCCTGCCTGGCTCAGCTGGTTCGGTGAGCCAAGAGATTCTCTTATTCTCCTGTGAATCTAAACTAAACTAATAATAAGTAAAACTGTTTTTTATTTTACCAGGTGAGGCCCCCGGTAAACTATTTAGCTCTTTTTCAGAAGCGACCTGGCGATAACAAATGACAATTCAACGAAGTGGCTCATCGCTTGGCAATTTAGAGCAGCCAAATGCTGTAAGCGTGTGACGTTGATTCTTGATGTTGAGGGAAAAACCAGGAGACGCGGAGAAAAACCAGGGGGAGAACACGCAAACTCCAAATATATAGCAGCAGGCATCAGGGTCGAGATTGAACCCACGACCTCCTGTGTACCAGGTGAGGTAGTTCACTTCTCGCTACTGTGTCGCCCACCTTTGTGTCTCCTCGGCAGGCAGAGGCACATCACCTGCGCCAAATGCACAGATGAAAACGTGTTCGACCCCCACCTGTCCATTCTCGACGACACGAAGGTACAGCCAGACACAGACAGTGCTCCTCCTTCTCACACACAGCACGTGTCTCTCACACACAGCACGTGTCTCACACACACAGCCCGTGTCTCGCACACACAGCACGTGTCTCACACACAGCCTGTGTCTCACAGCCCGTGTCTCACACACAGCCCGTGTCTCACACACACAGCACGTGTCTCACACACAGCACGTGTCTCACACACACAGCCCGTGTCTCACACACACAGCCCGTGTCTCTCACACACAGCACGTGTCTCACACACACAGCACGTGTCTCTCACACACAGCACGTGGCTTGCACACACAGCACGTGTCTCACACACACAGCACGTGTCTCGCACACACAGCCCGTGCCTCACACACAGCCCGTGTCTCGCACACACAGCCCGTGTCTCGCACACACAGCCCGTATCTCACACACACAGTCAGTGTCTCACACACACAGCCCGTGTCTCACACACACAGCACGTGTCTCACACACACAGCCCGTGTCTCACACACACAGCCCGTGTCTCACACACACAGCCCGTGTCTCACACAACAACAACAATAACCGCCATTCGCCACTAAGTGGCGGTGACGTCACCACGACGCTTGTGCCAGGCTATGTGCACCCTGAGGCCACGTGAAGTGTCGAACGCCCGCTGGCAGGAGGTCACGGGGCAGACCCAGGTGCCACGGGTCGACTGACTGAGATGACTGGCTGATGCACCACCTGTGCCCCCTACTGTGCCAACCTGCTGTGCTTTAGCCACCCGGCGCTCCGCTCGCTGTTGTGAGCGTCGCTCCTCCGCCCTCCGTTGTTGTTGGAGGGCGACTGCCTCCAACTGCCCAGTAGCATCCTTCACGAGCCTCCTCCACAGAGGCCGATCTTGACACCGCTGGTACCAGTCATCGGCAAGTCCACTCAGCTCCACGTCCTCCTGTACCACATCACTCCATCTCTTCTCTAGCCCGTGCCGCGCCCGCTTAGCCCCCTCAATCCGGCCAAACAAAAGCTGTTTCGGCATGCGGTGGCTGGGCATGCGGGCTACATGACCCAGCCATCGCAGCCTTGCCTGCCGGAGGAGCTCACCGATGGGACCCTGCCCAGATCTTTCAAGGATTTGTGAGCTCCTCACACAATCCAGTCTGGTTAAACCCAGGATGGATCGTAGGCAGGCCAGCCTAAATGTTTCTAACCGGCGAAGATGTTCCATTAGGGGGGTCCACGTTTCGCAAGCGTAGAGAAGGGAGGGAATGACCGTGGCCGAGAAGACCTGAAGCTTAGTGCGGAGCGACAGACCAGGTAGCTTCCACACAGCGTTACGCAACCGATGAAAAGATATTGCCGCTCGACTGATTCGGAGTGAGACCTCTGCTGTTAAACTGGTGCCAGTCATAAGCACACTGCCCAGGTATGGGAAACTCTCCACTCTCTCCACAACTGCCCCATCACCGATTGGGAGTTGTGGGGGTGGAGTGTCCGATGGTACAAAATACCCAGGCAGGTGCTTGGTTTTGGTGGGGCTGATGGTAAGGCCCCACCTCTTAGTGGCACGCTCCAGTCTCAGCAGCAGCGTCTCCAACTCCTCCTCTGACTGAGCAGCTATTACCAAGTCATCAGCATACATAACGTGGTTGAGCAATAGGGAGCCATCCCTTGACCGCACCCGGGCATCGATTAGCCTCCCATTATATCTGTACCATATGGAGATTCCCCCGGTACAGCTATTGAAGGCTTCACGAACTACGTGGTCAAAATAGATGTTAAATAATGTGGGAGCCAGAGGACATCCCTGTCGCACCCCAAGGTGTACAGGGAATGGCTCTGACTCCCGGCCACGTAGTTTTACCCGGGCCCGCTCACCATTATGAAGGTCCTTAATGATCGTGAGCAGAGGGTCAGGTACTCCAAAAGCACGAAGAACGACCCAGAGCCCAGGCCTACTGATGGTATCATAGGCCTTGACCAGGTCAATAAAGCAGAGATGTAGGTCTTGTTGGAATTCCCTACACCTCTGCTGTAGCAGACGGACAGAAAATATGGCATCTGTGCAGGACCGCCCTTTCCTGAAACCGCATTGGGGCTCCGCAAGCCTCTCCTCAGCGTGCCTGGCAAGGCGATGCTGAATAATCCTTGCCAGGACCTTTCCCGGCACACTGAGGAGTGAGATGCCCCTGTAGTTGTTACAGTCTGTGCGGTCCCCCTTCTTAAAAAGGGGGACCACCAGGGCATCCTTCCAATCCTGCGGAACCCGTCCAGTGGTCCAGACTGTTGTTATGATGTCATATAGGGCAGTCTGTGCACAAACGCCACCCTCCCTCAGCATTTCGCTTGGAAGATCATCTCTGCCCGCTGCCTTTCCTGGTCTCAGACTCCGGATCGCCTTCAATACTTCCTCAGCAGATGGCACCTCAGCCAGCCGCTCACAGGGGGTGACTTCATCCAATATTTGAGGCACCGCAGCCTCAGCAGGGTCATCCTCACTTTGTGCCACGATGTTTTCCTGGCTGAGGGATTTTCCCTTCCCCAGGACCTCACAGAAATGCTCAGCAAATCTGCGAACCTGTTCCTGGGGGTCGGAAATTGGATCGCCGTTTTTTCCCCTAATGATGGTAATAGGTGTGGCGCTGCAGGTTACTTTTTTGATGGAGTTAAATAGAGATTTGTGATCACGGGCCACTGAGGCAGACTCCATCTCCTCAGCAACCCGCGACCACCACCCATCCTTGCAGCGCCTCACGGCTCTCCGAACCTCCGAGCGAAGGCTGCGGTAAGCCTCCTCCTTCTCTGACGTGGGACTCTGTAGCCGATGACAGTGGGCCTGTCGCTTTTTCTCAACCATCGTGAACAACTCCTCTGTCATCCAGGGTGTCTGGGGAGGTCTGGACCGCGTACCCAAAGCAGCCATTGCAGCTGCATGAGTCACAGTCCTAAACCTCGCCCATTTACCCTCGACATCAGGAGGAGTCGGGGACGATGCCAATCCCAGCCGCAAGCGATGATCAAATTCTCGCTTGCAACTTTCATCAGATAACTGAGACCAGGCCACTTTAGGTTGGAATGGGGTCCTGGGTGTACACCCACCACCGGAGTGGAAGAATGGCAGGCGCATCTTACAGATGACTAGTCGATGGTCAGAGGGCAGATCAGCTCCACGGTAGGTCCTGGTGTCAAGGACATGGGCTCGCATTCGCTGGTCCGTCACTATGTAGTCCAGCAGATGTTCTTGCTTGGACCCGGCATGCATCCATGATGTTGTGTGGATGCGCCGATGCCGGAACAGCGTGTTGGTAATTACAAGCCCATGGGCTGCACAAAAATCTAGCAGCCTCCTACCGTTGTTATTGAGCTGATCTGGCCCATGCCCTCCAATCACTCCAGGCCAGGTGCCAGTATCATGACCAACTCGGGCATTGAAGTCACCCAACATGATGACTCTATCCCGAGGGGCCACTTTAGCCAGCACCTGTGACAGGAGGTCATAGAAGGCATCTGACTCATCGGCTTTGCCTGCATCCCTCCACGGATGTTCATCTTCGGTGGGGGCATAAGTAACCACGACCACCATTCCTCGCCTCCGGTTGATGGGAAGGCGAGCCCAAAGTAGCCTGGGGCTTGCAGCTTCCCACACCTCACCGCCACGCTCCCACGCCCCCTTCATTCTTTTGTTCAAAAGAAGACCCACACCCTGTTGTTTGGCAGTCTGCTGCCCCGAGTAGAGGACTGTCCACCCCTCATGGTGGCAGGAGCCAGAGCCGGTCCACCGGACCTCCTGAATGCCGCATAGATCCAGGCGGTACCGGTCCAGCTCCCGACAGAGGAGTGGCAGCCTCTCCTCTGCAGTGAGCGTTCGAACATTCCACGTGGCCAACCGTAGTGGCTTTTCGTTGTTTCTGGAGTAGCCCCGAGGGTAGGTATTCAATCTCCTGGCTCCGCCAATTGGGGTTTGGCCAGGAGACGTCATAGACGCCTGGCCCCCCGGGGCCTCCGGCACAAGCTTAGTTGTTACATATTTAAGTTTAATTCGTAGTTTCGTGGTAATTAATTGAAGGTGGAGGGGTTACCAGCCCCTCGCACCCGTCCAGAGCCCCCGTTTAGCCCCTGTGGTGGATACATATGCCATGAGGGGAGGAGCCAATCAAAATTGGATCTCCCCCCACACACACACACAGCTCGTGTCTCACACACACAGCCCGTGTCTCACACACACAGCACGTGTCTCACACACAGCACGTGTCTCACACACACAGCCCGTGTCTCACACAGAGCCCGTGTCTCACACACACAGCCCGTGTCTCACACAGCACGTGTCTCACACACACAGCCCGTGTCTCACACACACAGCCCGTGTCTCACACACAGCCCGTCTCGCACACACAGCCCGTGTCTCACACACAGCACGTGTCTCACACAGCCCGTGTCTCACACACACAGCCCGTGTCTCGCACACACAGCCCGTGTCTCACACACACAGCACGTGTCTCACACACACAGCCTGTGTCTCACACACACAGCCTGTGTCTCACACACAGCCCGTGTCTCACACACACAGCCCGTGTCTCACACACAGCCCGTGTCTCACACACACAGCCCGTGTCTCACACACAGCACGTGTCTCACACACACAGCCCGTGTCTCTCACACACAGCACGTGTCTTACACACACAGCACGTGTCTCTCACACACAGTACGTGGCTCGCACACACAGCACGTGTCTCACACACACAGCACATGTCTCGCACACACAGCCCGTGCCTCACACACAGCCCGTGTCTCGCACACACAGCCCGTGTCTCGCACACACAGCCCGTATCTCACACACACAGTCAGTGTCTCACACACACAGCCCGTGTCTCACACACACAGCACGTGTCTCACACACACAGCCCGTGTCTCACACACACAGCCCGTGTCTCACACACACAGCCCGTGTCTCACACACACAGCCCGTGTCTCACACACACAGCACGTGTCTCACACACAGCACGTGTCTCACACACACAGCCCGTGTCTCACACACAGCCCGTGTCTCACACACACAGCCCGTGTCTCACACAGCACGTGTCTCACACACACAGCCCGTGTCTCACACACACAGCCCGTGTCTCACACACAGCCCGTCTCGCACACACAGCCCGTGTCTCACACACAGCACGTGTCTCACACACAGCCCGTGTCTCACACACACAGCCCGTGTCTCGCACACACAGCCCGTGTCTCACACACACAGCACGTGTCTCACACACACAGCCTGTGTCTCACACACACAGCCTGTGTCTCACACACACAGCCTGTGCCTCGCACACACAGCCCGTGTCTCACACACAGCCCGTGTCTCACACACACAGCCCGTGTCTCACACACACAGCCCGTGTCTCACACACAGCCCGTGTCTCACACACACAGCCCGTGTCTCGCACACACAGCCCGTGTCTCACACACAGCCCGTGTCTCACACACAGCCCGTCTCGCACACACAGCCCGTGTCTCACACACAGCACGTGTCTCACACACAGCCCGTGTCTCACACACACAGCCCGTGTCTCGCACACACAGCCCGTGTCTCACACACACAGCACGTGTCTTACACACACAGCCTGTGTCTCGCACACACAGCACGTGTCTCGCACACACAGCCCGTGTCTCACACACAGCCCGTGTCTCACACACACAGCCCGTGTCTCACAGACAGCCCGTGTCTCACACACACAGCCCGTGTCTCACACACAGCTCGTGTCTCACACACACAGCCCGTGTCTCACACACAGCCCGTGTCTCACACACACAGCCCGTGTCTCACACACAGCCCGTGTCTCACACACAGCACGTGTCTCACACACACAGCACGTGTCTCACACACACAGCATGTGTCTCACACACACAGCCTGTGTCTCACACACACAACACGTGTCTCACACACACAGCCCGTGTCTCACACACAGCACGTGTCTCACACACACACAGCACGTGCCACACACACACAGCACGTGTCACACACAGCACGTGTCTCTCACACACAGCACGTGTCTCACACACACAGCACGTGTCACACACACAGCCCGTGTCTCACACACACAGCCCGTGTCTCACACACAGCACGTGTCTCACACACACAGCACGTGTCTCTCACACACAGCACGTGTCTCACACACACAGCCCGTGTCTCACACACACAGCCCGTGTCTCACACACACAGCACGTGTCTCACACACACAGCCCGTGTCTCACACACACAGCCCGTGTCTCACACACACAGCCCGTGTCTCTCACACACAGCACGTGTCTCACACACACAGCACGTGGCTCACACAAGCAAAACTCTGGACCGGTTTTGACATTCAGGGTCTCATCAGCAGGGTCAGGATTGGCTTGAACCATTGGTTCAACGCAAGGCAGCAATGTGAGATGTTTCCTTTTAATCTCTGCAGCTAGCATTGCATCACCTTGTGTCTGAGAAGAATATCATTTTTTTGCCTTTATCCGCATGAGGAGCACACCTGTGATGGTTTGTGTTTTTGTTTGTGCAGTCTTTGGTGTCCGGGCTGAGACCGTCCACTGAGTCTTTGGGTCTAGTCTTTATGTGAGTCTTTGGATCTCTGTGTTGGTTTGTGCGTCCCTGTGTGAGTCTATGAGTCTGTGATACTATTAGTCTCCACGTAAGTCTATGGGTCTCTACGTGAGTCGTCGGATACCGGGCTGAGACCATCAACCCTCGGCGCTTGAGAACCCGGTTTAATCGCATCTCGGTCTATTCGAGTCTGTGGTTCCCTCTGTGAAACTGCGTGTCTCTGTGTGAGTCTACATGTCTCTCGTTTGAGAGTCTTATGCATCGGCGTGTAAACCGATGAGTCTCTAGGCAAGTCTGCGTAGATGTCCGTGTAGCTGTTAACAGTCTGCGAGTCGCTGGTGATTGGGCCTGAGACCTTCAACTCAATCCACTTGAGGGGGACGCGGTTTGATCACAGGCAGCTGCTGAAACTCGAGTTGGAAGCCAGGCTCTCAGCGGTGTCAGCTGATGATTCCGGTTGGCGCTGTTAAAGTATCGACGCCACAAAGACGGTCCACCGTGTCGCGCGCGCTTTCAGATGCACTTCGGCGGCTGTCTGGAACGCTGTTTCCTTCCAATATTCGGAAGCTACTGGAGCTATGCATTTTGAAATGATCTAGATTGACGAACTAATTTCGTTTGAACTGCTTTGTGTTTAGTTTGTTGTCCTTCCCCCGCCTGCACCTCTAATTGCACGGTTGACTACGTACGGTGTGAAAAAAGTTCAACGTACATAATGTTACGGATGCATAATGCCTTGGATGCTGATCACGATGAGGCCGGTGGTGATGTTAATGCTGCTAATGATGATATTGAAGATGATGATGCCACTGCTGCTTATGCGGATGATGGTAAGTCTGTTGCTGATGATGATTTTGCTGACAACGACGACGACGATGATGATGATGCTTTGGCAGGCCTTTCACGACAGGGCGGCTCAACGGGAGATCGACTGCCTCTCCGCTCGCTGCATTAATGAAGGCTGCCCCTGGACTGGAACCGTCAAGGAGTACTGGGTGAGGTGGGGGGGGAGAGGCGGCTGCCACGCCCGGGACCTCGTTCAGGGATTGGCATTGGGGGGGTTGGCGGGATAGGATCCCTGGGCTGCTATACATGTGGTGGTGGTGGTGGTGGGGTGTAGCATTATAGATTGGGTGGAGGAGCGGTGGTGCAGTCGTCAGCGCACCACGCAACGTACCCCCTCTCCCCTCCCTCTCTATCTCTCCTCTCTCTTCTCCCCTCTCTCCCCTCTAATCTCTCCCCCCTCTCTCCTCTCTTCTGCTCACTTCCCTCTACCCCCTCTCTCTCCTTTTCCCCTCTCCTCCCCTCTGCACCCTCCCTCCCTTCTCCCAACTCTCTCCTCTCTCGCCTCCCATCTCCGCTTTCTCTCCCCTTACGCTCCCCTCTCCCCTGCGTGTGCGTCTCAGTCTGTGCACGAGGAGCTCTGCGAGTTCTCCACCCTGCCCTGCCCCTTCCAGGACGTCGGCTGCACGGCCAAGGTGAGCGCCGCACGGATGGATTCCAGCACGCATTTGTGGTGGCGGTCACGTCACGCTGCTGAGCAGTTACAATGGGTGCCAATCGCCGACGTCGTCATCGTGGTCGCCATCGGTCGGAGCAGTAGCGTTATGCTCATCAGCTTGGCCATTACCATCAGCGTCATCATCACCGCTCCCACCGCCACTCTCATCACCGCCTAGAGCCTCGGGTCGTCACCGCGGCAACGATCGCCACCGACGCGACGGCTGCGCTCTCTCGCTCCATCGCCGTGGCAACGACGCCGTCCGCACGCCCCCCCCCCCCCGCACCCTCCCACGCCTCCCCCCCCCCCCCCCACCACACCAGGTCTCGCGCGGCGAGCTTTCCCGGCACGAGGAAACGGCGGTGCCGCTACACCTGCGGCTGCTGCTGGCGCCGCTCGCGTCCCTCCGCTCGGCGCTCCTCGTCCCGGACCGCTTCGCCCTCGAGAACGGCGCCGCCGACGCCGGCGCCGTCCCCCAGCGGGTCGGCACTGTCGATTCGCGCGTGCGCAAGCTGGAGGAGCTCCTCGACCGGCTCAACATCAACGGCGGCGACGGAGGCGGCGGCAGCGGCGGCTGGAACAAGGCGGACTCCGGGATAAACAGCGCCAGCTTGGCGTCAATATCGCCAAGACGGGGGCAAGCCGGCGCTGCGAAGGGCGGTCGCAAGAAGGGAGCGGCGGCGGCGGCGGCGGCGGCGCCGGCCGGGGGAGGGGCGGAGGAGGAGGCTGGTGCGGTGGTGCTGGGGCGGCTGGCGCGGGTGGAGCGCATGCTCACGGCGTTCGAGAACATCGTCAAGGTGCTGGACCGCGAGACGGAGAGGGTGGCGGTGGCGCAGCGGGAGACGGAGCGCCAGCGGCGGGAGGAGCAGCAGCAGCTGCACGCGGCGCAGGCCAAGGTAGCGGCGGTGGCGGTGGCGATCGTCGCCGCCATCGCCACCACTATCTCCATTATTACTACCGTTTCCACCATCTCTATCGCCACCATCAACACCATCTCCATCGCCACCACCACCGCCACCGTCACCGCAGTTCTTCTCTCTGCGTGCTCCCCCCGTGCTCAGATGCGGGAGGTGGAGCGCCAGCTGGCGGCCAAGGAGGCGGCGCTGGCCGAGCTGCGGGGCCGCCTGCTCTCGCTCGAGGCAGCCACCTTCGACGGAGTCTTCCTGTGGAAGATCTCCAGCTTCCGCCAGCGCAGTCGCGACGCCAGCGAAGGGCGCAACCTTGCCTTCTACTCGCCAGGTGGCCCACCACCCATCCCCACCGCCGTCCCCTCCTCTTCGTCCTCCTCAGCCCTGTCCACCCCAGACGTCGGCCGCGGGCTGCTTCGGCGTCACCGCGTTGCTTTGCGTGCGGCGAAGCTCGCAAACGGACGCTTCTGTGCTCTGTCATCGCTACGATGGCAGAGGCAGTAGCACGCTGACTAGGAGGTGATAACTACCTTGTCTGGTATCCAGGAGGTCGTGGGTTCGATCCCGACCAAGCGAGGTAGTTGACGTCTTGCCATCGCGATGGTGACGATGATGGAGGCGTGGTGGTGAGGATATTAGTGATGGTGATGATGTTGGATGTGGTGGCTTTGGTGGTTAGGATATTGATGATGATGATGACAGGCACTGGCTGCCGGATAGACATTGCATGATGGTGTCCATGGTGATAATGATTGATGATGGATGTTGACTGCCTGATGGTGCTGGTAGCGGTGGCGTTTAAGTTGTGGGGAGTGGTCATTATCTGAACCATCTGAACCGGTTCTGGGTGTCTCACCAGGCCTCAAATAGTGTTGGCCACCCACCACCTCGTGTGCAGTGCTGGCCTTCATACAGTGAGGGAAAAAAGTATTTGATCCCCTGCTGATTTTGTACGTTTGCCCACTGACAAAGAAATGATCAGTCTATAATTTTAATGGTAGGTTTATTTGAACAGTGAGAGACAGAATAACAACAAGAAAATCCAGAAAAACGCATGTCAAAAATGTTATAAATTGATTTGCATTTTAATGAGGGAAATAAGTATTTGACCCCTCTGCAAAACATGACTTAGTACTTGGTGACAAAACCCTTGTTGGCAATCACAGAGGTCAGACGTTTCTTGTAGTTGGCCACCAGGTTTGCACACATCTCAGGAGGGATTTTGTCCCACTCTTCTTTGCAGATCTTCTCCAAGTCATTAAGGTTTCGAGGCTGATGTTTGGCAACTCGAACCTTCAGCTCCCTCCACAGATTTTCTATGGGATTAAGGTCTGGAGACTGGCTAGGCCACTCCAGGACCTTAATGTGCTTCTTCTTGAGCCACTCCTTTGTTTCCTTGGCCGTGTGTGTTGGGTTATTGTCATGCTGGAATACCCATCCACGACCCATTTTCAATGCCCTGGCTGAGGGAAGGAGGTTCTCACCCAAGATTTGACGGTACATGGCCCCGTCCATTGTCCCTTTGATGCGGTGAAGTTGTCCTGTCCCCTTTGCAGAAAAACACCCCCAAAGCATAATATTTCCACCTCCATGTTTGACGGTGGGGATGGTGTTCTTGGGGTCATAGGCAGCATTCCTCCTCCTCCAAACACGGCGAGTTGAGTTGATATCAAAGAGCTCCATTTTGGTCTCATCTGACCACAACACTTTCACCCAGTTGTCCTCTGAATCATTCAGATGTTCATTGGCAAACTTCAGAAGGGCATGTATATGTGCTTTCTTGAGCAGGGGGACCTTGCGGGCGCTGCAGGATTTCAGTCCTTCACGGTGTAGTGTGTTACCAATTGTTTTCTTGGTGACTATGGTCCCAGCTGCCTTGAGATCATTGACAAGATCCTCCCGTGTAGTTCTGGGCTGATTCCTCACCGTTCTCATGATCATTGCAACTCCACGAGGTGAGATCTTGCATGGAGCCCCAGGCCGAGGGAGATTGACAGTTCTTTTGTGTTTCTTCCATTTGCGAATAATCGCACCAACTGTTGACACCTTCTCACCAAGCTGCTTGGCAATGGTCTTGTAGCCCATTCCAGCCTTATGTAGGTCTACAATCTTGTCCCTGACATCCTTGGAGAGCTCTTTGGTCTTGGCCATGGTGGAGAGTTTGGAATCTGATTGATTGCTTCTGCGGACAGGTGTCTTTTATACAGGTAACAAGCTGAGATTAGGATCACTCCCTTTAAGAGTGTGCTCCTAATCTCAGCTCGTTACCTGTATAAAAGACACCTGGGAGCCAGAAATCTTTCTGATTGAGAGGGGGTCAAATACTTATTTCCCTCATTAAAATGCAAATCAATTTATAACTTTTTTGGCATGCGGTTTTCTGGATTTTGTTGTTATTCTCTCTCACTGTTCAAATAAACCTACCATTAAAATTATAGACTGATAATTTCTTTGTCAGTGGGCAAATGTACAAAATCAGCAGTAGGTTCTGCTACTCGCTTGCAGCACTTGCCCCAACAGTCTGTTAAAGACTACATGGGAAATCTTTGTCATTGTTTAGGATGTCCATGATGATGGTGATAATAATGATGAGAGGTATTAACTGATGGTGATGAAGTTGATGATAGACATTGGTGGTGGTGGTGGTGAGGATATTACCGATCATGATGATGGTGAGGACAATAGTGAAGGTGGTGGTGGTGGTGATGTTAGTATGTGCTCTATGAGTCCGGCTATAATCCGAGTACGATTCCCACTCACAGCCACCAACATCGGTGATGATTATCTGAATCAGTCCTGAGCCCTCCCAAAGGTCGAATCGGCCTCAAATGAGTACCTGACGCGATACGTAAATATCGCCGCTAGGGACACAAATGCAGCCGGCATGGTGCTGGCCACCCACCTGCCCCTTCGCGTGTCGTTCCGGCCTTCATAGGCGCTGCTACTCGCTGTCAGCACTTGCCCAACAAGTTCCCTTGAGGCTCTATGGGGGCATCTTTGTCATTGATGTTAGGAACTAATGTCAATTGTAACCCTGAGCCCCCCCCCTCCACCACCAGCACCACCCAGGCCAAAACTCTGGTTGAGTCACGAGCCGCGACTGACGACCCAGGTGAGAAAGTGACGTTGGGGCATCAGTCTGCTGCCAGTAGGGACGCGATCATTGCTGCTGCTGCTGCTGTGCGTGTGGCACAGTAGCGGACACAGGTGGTGCATCTCACCCATGGCACCACCTCGGTCTGTCCCGTGAGCCTCCTGACAAGCGGCCGTTCGACACTCCACGTGACCTTAAAGTGCACCTAGCCTGGTACAAGCGCCGTGGTGACGTCACCGCCACTCGGAGCTGCGAATGGCGGACCGTGACGCCGGCATCACGAAGACGGGCCCGACTCTTGTGAGCGACGTCACGGGATCTCAAACGTCCACTCCGAGCGAATCAGACGGCGTACAGCAGTAGAATTACTCTCCAATTCTCGCCGGCAGTATTCGTCAGGGCGGCCGACCAGATTCGGAGCGCCGTGCTATTATGTGAAGTGACATTGGAGGAAGTGGGGTCACAAGAAGTGGGGTCACAGGAAGTGATGAGATGCCATAGGAAGTGCCGTGCTATTACGTTAAGTGACGTAGCAGGAAGTGGGTTCACAGGAAGTGGTGTCACAGGAAGTGATGAGTGCTACAAGAAGTGCCGTGCTATTACGTGAAGTGACGTAGCAGGAAGTGACGAAATATGATCCGATCATGAGTTTGATACGTGATGAGACCCAAATCGTCTACGATCCGCGACTCGCGGTGACCTGCTGCTGTACCCGCGTGTGAGCCTCGCGCGCGATATGGCCACGGCAGTTTCAGGGTCTCCGGCCCAAAGACCTGGAACACCGCTACCAGCTCACGTTCGAGGTCCATCCTTGAGTCTGAGCCAGTTCTGCAAGAGACTCAAAACAATGTTGTTTCGGAGAGCCTAGTTCAGCGTGTGATCAATGCGCATTCGTGAGGGACTGTACTCATAAGAGTGTGCAATAACAAATGTTCTTGCTGATGAAATACCGCAGGAAGTGATGACATGTTACAGGAAGTGGCATGCTGTGACAGGAAGTGGTGTCCCATAACCTGATGTCACCAGGAGCTATGTCTCATTTACAGGAGGTGATGTCATTGCAAGTGGCGTGCTTTAACAGGAAGTGGCGTCGCATAAAGTGATGTCACCATAAAACAGTGACTCGTAACAGAAAGTGATGTGATGGCAAGTGGCGTGCTTTAACAGGAAGTGGCGTCGCATAAAGTGATGTCACCAGAAAGCAGTGACTCGTAACAGAAAGTGATGTCATGGCAAGTGGTGTGCTTTAAAAGGAAGTGTGACGTCACAAAAAGTGATGTCACCAGAAAGCAGTGACTCGTTACAGGAAGCCTCACCGGAAGTGGCGTTGCGTAATAAAGTCTCTTTACAGGGAGTGACGTGCCGTCACTGGAGCAGTGGGGCACGCTGCCGTGACGTGGCGCCGCGGGCAAAGCCGTGCCGTTGGCGCAGCAAGCGGCCGTGGTGGGACGTGGCGGCACGGGGGAGCGACGCCATCGCTCGGCCGTTGTTTTTATGCGGCGCCGATCGGATCGACGGATGCGAGCGGTCGCGGCGATGCCGGCAGTCTGCGCTGGTGCAAGTTCTCTTTGCATCGTCCCGTTCCACGTCACTGACCTGTATCTTGTCGTGACGCACACACGCAGCATTCTATACGAGCCAGCATGGATACAAGATGTGCCTCCGGCTCTACCCCAATGGGGACGGAGCCGGCCGTGGCACCCACCTCTCGCTCTTCTTCGTCATCATGAAGGGGGATCACGATGCCCTCTTGCCGTGGCCATTCAAGTACAAGGTGCCTCACTCGACTCTCTGGGTGTATTATCTTATTTTATATGCGTAAAGCCGCCTTAGCTCAATGCACGCTTAACAGAGTTTCAAAGCACTAACAACGACAACAACGGAGTGATTAAAATGGCAAGGGGCGTGCAAGCGCCGGGGAATGAGTCGCCGTAACAGGGCGCGTGGGGTTACGAAAGGGCTCTAGGGGAGGAGTGGAGGGGTGAGGGAAGAGGAAGGGAATGGGTGTTGGAGAAGTAATGATTGAATAGAGGAATGAAAGGGGATTAAGGAGGCGAACTGCTGAATGTACAGGAGAAGTATATTCCAGTGGAAGGTGATCACTTAAGAGACCAGATATCTGTGCATGAGTGAGGGGGATGGTAGTTGAGTGAGTGAATGAGTAAACGGTGAGTGGTGATGCTTGAGTGGTTAAATGAGATGGTGAGTAACGCAGCCAAACTATTTGAATTGTCTCACGGTGCAAGAGCTTTTAACGACATGAAGATTATGATTGTTTCAACTCGACCCACCCAGCCACTCACCCACCCACTTACCCACTCGCCCACTTTCCCACCCATTCACTCGCCAACCTAATCGGCGGTGGTGAGGCAGAGGAGAATCCTTAGCGGCGATTTATATTTGCAACTTTTCACTTGAAACTGCATCAGGCATTGTCAGGACGATATTCGCGCACAACAATGCATCTCGGCCAGTGAATGTTACGTATGTATGTACGTTGAATATCTTTCGCACCGTACGTAGCCAACCGTGCTGCGGTGTAAGGACAACAAACTAAACACAAAAAGCAGTTCTAAAGATACCAGTTTTGTTATTTGGTATAGTATATAGTAGTGCATAGTGTAGAGTATAGTAGTTTATAGTGAAGTGTTTAGTGTAGTATATAGTGTGTAGTGTCGTGTGTAGTGTGTATTGTCCATCACAGCTACCTGCGGGTGTGCCGGCGCGAACCGGGACGGCATCGGTCACATCGGCCGAACCTTAACCGCGTTGAGGCCTAACCTGCCGTCCGACCCTCTGTGACCACCCTCCGCCACGACCAACCCCCCGCCGACGCCGCAGGTGACAATGATGCTGCTGGACCAAGACCGGCGGGAGCACGTGATCGACGCGTTCCGGCCCGACGTGACGTCGTCCTCATTCCAGCGCCCCGTGGGCGAGCTGAACGTGGCCAGCGGCTGCCCCCTCTTCTGCCCGCTCGCCCGGCTGCAGGGCCAGCAGCGGCAGGCCTACGTGCGCGACGACACCATCTTCATCCGCTGCATCGTCGAGACCGACGGGGTCTGAGACAACGACGACGCCGCCGACGCAACGGTCGGCGTTGCCGGCGCGGGACAGCCGGTCGCGGCGGGGCCTCCGTCGGCGTTCGCTGCCGGGCCGGGCCTTGCGGCGCACGGGGAGCCCCGGAGTTCCGATGCCGAGCGGCTGGCCCTGGGGACAATGGCCGGGACGAGCGTGCGTCCGCGTCGAGGCCGTGGATCGTGTATCCGACGGCGGTTGTGGTGGTGATTGTGGTGGTCGTGGTGGTGGTGGTGGTTGTGGTTCGGGTTGGGTGGAGCTGCGGCCGTCCGCCGATTCATAAAGGGAACGCTGTGACAGCAGGCGTTGCTATTCCCTCGGCGAGAGGAGAGGAATAGGAGGAAGTCCTCTTCCTCCGCTGTCCTTCCTCCCCTCGGCGAGAGGAGAGCAATGCCTGTTGACTCTGCGTTCTCTTCATTGACTCGAGTGCGTGGCCAGTGAGAGTGGGAATCGCCGCGTGTAGCTGTGCTCGCATCTGTGTGTGCGTGCATGTGTGCGTGCGAGTGGAGTGTCTTTTTTCGAATGGCACCCAAAAAAGTCTGAGGCTGTACAGGGGTCTGTGCGGGGTGAGCGGTAGTGTGGTGGTTAGCGCAGCGCGCTTTGAGTACCTGGTGCGGTGTGTAAACATCGCCACTCGGGAGACAAAGGCGGCCGGGCGTGGTGCTGGCCACCCACCTCGTGTGCCGTTCCGGCCTTCATAGGTGCTCGCTAACAGCACTTGCCCCTACAGTTTGTTGAAGGCTGTCCGGGTGATCTTTGTCTTTGTGTGGGGTGAGCGATAGTGTAGTGGTTAGCGCACTGCGATAGGAGCCCAGCTATGAGACGAGTTCGATTCCCACTCACGGCCAACACCAGTGACAGATGAATTATTCGAACTGGTCCTGGGCCTGCCCTAGGTTGACTCGGCCTCAAATGAGTACCTGGTGCGGTGTGTAAACATCGCTAGCACTGGGGAGACAAAGGTGGTGAGGCGTGGTGCTGGCGACCCATCCCCTCGTGTGCCCTGCCAGAACCTCACAGCTGCTGCTGCTACTCACGAACAGCACTTGCCCCAACAGTCTATTAAAGGCGATACGGGGGATCTTTGTTTTTGTGTACCACGCCCTTTCATCAGAATCGGAGCATTGAGACCGAAGGAATCCGATGAGCTATGAAGCTCTTTTTCACAGATGTCCATAGGTGCTGCTACTCACTAACAGCACTTGCCTCAACAGCCTGTGAAGGCTACACGAGGGGAGGTGGTGGGGGGGGATGGAGGGAGGCGCCGATGGCGTTACGGTTCCTGAACTGCTCCACTCACCACCTGTGTTTTAGACTCCTCAGCTGCTGTAGGCGAGTTCCTTGCACAGATTCTGAAACATCTCGCGGTGGCTAGGAGATGTTAACTACCTCGCCTGGTATACAGGAGGTCGTCGGCTGGATTCTGAGCCTGACCCCTGCTGTATATTTGTTTTCGCTTTCTCCCCGCGGTCGCGTGGATTTTTCTCCGGGTGCTCTGGTTTTTCCCCTCCAACATTTAGAATGAACGTCACGCATTTAAGAGTGGCTGCTGCTATAAATGTCCACACGATGATGATGATGAGCCACTTCGTTGAGCTATCACTTGCGAGGGCCAAGTCGCTTCTGGAAAAAGAGCGACAGCGGCTCTGGTGGGTCCTGCCCCTCGGCGCTCGCTGGGCACCGATCTGTCCTTGCCGTCGAGCGGGCAACGTCGAGCGGGGGACGCCTCTCCCACCCCTGGCAGGACCCTCTTTGAAGGGGGCCTTGAGGCTGTCGCTCTCCCGTCTAAATATTCGATGGCGATGTCGAGCCCGGAAGAGCCACCCGGACAGACCACTGCGGGCAAATGGAGCAATCGATGTTCATTTTGTGTGCCGATATCGCCACCTCGGTAAAGCGGCCATCGGCGCGCATGACGGCAGTACGGGAGCGGCTCGGTACAGAAGGAACGGTACAGGGCGGGCGCGGAGCGAACAATAACAACAACGACAACAACGGCAACAACAACAACAACGTCGGTCAGTACTCTTTGGTTATTTCGGTAAAGTCGCGTAGTTTGAAATAAAATCAATCAAATCACGACGTTTCGATCGCAACACAAGCAATGGTCATCAGGTGGGACAACTACAGCAAGAAACAACTGCTCAAGAAGGCGAGAGAGCTGTCGTGGCACGAGGTTTTATAGACTCGCGGTAGGGGGCGTGGGCGGGGCGAGAGATGGGTGGGGGGGGGACAAAGTAAGAACTGCGGAGGCGAATGGAGAGCTGGGGGGGGGGAGAGAGGTGGGGGGTTGCCATTGCAGCAGCAATGCCAATGCAGCAGCAGCAATGCAGCAAAGCAGCAGCAATGCCAATGCAGCAATGGCAATGCAGCAGCAATGCCAATGCAGCAGCAATGCCAATGCAGCAGCAATGGCAATGCAGCAGCAATGCCAATGCAGCAGCAACAATGCCAATGCAGCAGCAGCAACAATGCCAATGCAGCAGCAGCAATGCCAATGCAGCAGCAAGGCCAATGCAGCAGCAAGGCCAATGCAGCAACAATGCCAATGCAGCAGCAACAATGCCAATGCAGCAGCAATGCCAATGCAGCAGCAATGCCAATGCAGCAGCAATGGCAATGCAGCAGCAATGCCAATGCAGCAATGCCAATGTAGCAATGCCAATGCAGCAATGCCAATGCAGCAGCAATGCCAATGTAGCAGCAACAATGCCAATGCAGCAGCAGCAATGCCAATGCAGCAGCAGCAATGCCAATGCAGCAGCAGCAATGCCAATGCAGCAATGCCAATGCAGCAGCAGCAATGCCAATGCAGCAGCAATGCCAATGCAGCACCAATGCCAATGCAGCAGCAATGCCAATGCAGCAGCAGCAATGTAGCAGTAGCAGCAATGCCAAACGTTGGGGATGCGTCGGTCGGCATCACGATCCATGGGGCAGGTAGCCCGTAGGTGTCGGCTTCACGTTTCGTCATTTGTTTCCACTCGACATCAGCGGCGACCACCGACCGAGCAGGGTGCGAATGGTGAGTAGTGAATGACCAAGAATACAAATAAATACGTAAAGAGAGAAAGAGGTTTAGATTATTAGACATTGTATGGCAAGGCAAGGCTGAATTGGGTGCCTCTTGCGCAGACTTCGGATGCAAGAGACGCACCTCGGCGCGTTTCGACCACCGGTCCAAGATTGCAAACTGCTTATTTAGAATCGCGTTGTGTGTTTAGCTGTCCTCCCCCAGTATACGTGTGTAGGTGTGCACACGTGTGCGCGCACCTGCACACGTGTGCACGTGCAGGCGGGGGGGATGACACCACGAGGCTGCCTCTGCTGCGCCACAAACGTTCCAGGAACCTGGGTTCGATTCCCCCTTTCTGTGCGGATGTTTGTGTATTCTTCAACTAAACCATTTAAAACATTTTTTTTTTTATTTTCCCAGGTAAGGTACCCATTGAGCTGCTATGTTGCGCTCTTTCAGAAGCGACCTGGCGATCACAAATTATAGCTCAGCGAAGCGGCTCATCACCGTGTGGACATCTTTAACAGTAGCCAACTCCTCTAGGCGCGTGATGTTGACTCGACGCGTGGAGGGAAACTCCGAAGGACCTGGAGAAAAATCCACGACCCGGGGAGAGAGAGAGACGCAAACTCCAAATATACAGCAGCAGCAGGCGTCAGGGACGGGATCGAACCCACGACCTCCTGCCTACCAGGCGAGGTAGTCAACATCTCATAGCCACTGTGTGGGGTTCGCGTGTTCCCCCCCAGTTATCCGTGGGATTCCTCCGGGATCACCGTTTTCCCCGTCTCCCGTAGCTGAACACAAACAAGAAAACGCCACACGCCATGTCACCGCTGTCGGATCAAACATCACCTCCTCCCCTCCAGCTGAGAAATTACTCCGCAAAACTATTTATTTGGGATCGGCAATAGCAATCATCACTGCACGCCTACAGCGAACGGTTAGGGCAGGAGTCTCTTTTCAAGGAGCCTCGAGGCTCAGGCGTTCACAAGTGAATAATTGTATTTGTGCCTTTGCGAAACGATGCGCATACCTATTCGGGGAATTTACTCGAACGAAATGCATAACGTGTATGCGGTGTGTAATTGACAGGTATTGGGAGGTTGCTTTGGGTGTTGCAGGCTTGCACACAGATTCGTAGATTTACACAGAGAACGACTTTTTTGGAGAACCACACAACCATAGTCTCACACAGACTCACGCAGAGACCAACACAGAGGCCCACATCCACACAGGCCCAGAGACCCACATACCCACGCAGAGGCCCACAGACGCACGCAGAGACCCGCAGACGCACGCAGAGACCCGCAGGTCCACATATCCACACACAGGCCCAGAGAGACCCACAGACACGCAGAGGCCCACAGAGACCCACACTGAGGCCCACATATCCACACAGGCCCAGAGACCCACAGACCCACACTGAGGCCCACATATCCACACACAGGCCCAGAGAACCACAGCCGCACGCAGAGACGCACGCAGAGACCCACAGACCCACACTGAGGCCCACAGACGCACGCAGAGACCCATATATCCACACAGAGGCCCAGAGATTCACAGACCCACGCATGTTGAACTTATTTCGCACCGTACGACACGAATCCAATCGGAAATCTTTAACGATGACACGCGTGTGTGTGGGAAAGAGAGGGCAATGATCTTTTATTTTGTCTTTGTAGATGTAATGTATATTGTACACATGTATAAAGCACGAATAAAATGGGTTCAGGTGAATCGTGATTGATAGGAAGTGCTTTGTGGAGATTCATGGAGTGTGGCGGATGGGTTCGGATCGAGAGATTGCAAACAACCGCGTTTAAAAAGTTCACTCCGTGCCTGTGAATGTGTGTTGTTTTTAATCTGCCCCAAATAAAGAGTTTGCATGGAGTAGAGGCGGTGGTGGCGGCGGTCGTACAGTGCTTCGCGCGCTGCGAACCTGGCCACCCGAGTTCGATTCCTGCTCACAGCCGCCAACACCAGCGACGAATATCTGAAGCGGTCCTGGGTCTCCCCTTGGTATGTATGTTGAATTTCTTTCGCACCGTACGTAGCCAACGGTGCTAATCGGAGGTGCGGGGGAGGACAAGCTAAACACGAAAAGCAGTTTTCAAGAAGTGAGTTTGTCAATCTAGACGATCATTTAAAAGTGCATAGTTCCACTCGCTTCCTGATATCGGAAGGAAGAGCGTTCCAGACGGCCACAAGCGCGTCTGAATGTGCCGCGCGGTGATGGTGATGGATGATGATGGGTGATGATGATGGTGATGATGATGGGTGATGGATGATGGTGATGATGGGTGATGGTGATGATGGGTGATGATGATGGTGATTATGGTGATGATGGTGATGGGTGATGATGGGTGATCGCCGTCTTTGTTCAGTGGCTGAGCCAAAAGCCGCTGCAGGGAGGATGATTGTGTTCGTGTGGTGATGCTGGTTTATACTCTTCGATGCTCCAAGGTCAACTCGGCCTCAAATGAGTACCTGGTGCGGTGTGGAGTAAACGTCGCCACTGGGGAGACAAAGGCGGCCGGGCGCGGTGCTGCCCACCCCACCACCTCGCTTGCCGTGCCGACCTTTGTGGTCGCCACTCGCTAACTGCACTTGCCCAGAACGTCTGTTAAGGCTTTCTGGGGGATCTTTGCCCGTGAGCCAGCGCAGTGCA